GATGGCTTTGAAGAACAATCAAGGACGCTTTTCAATACTGCTTAGCAGCACTTGTTTAGTGAGATAAGCTCACACGGAAGGATAAACAGAATATATTCTGATAACAGTAAACTTTATATGAAGAATGGTCATCATTTATCTTTTTCGGTTTAAGTCCACATCGTTTATGAATTTCCTGCATGTAGATCGCCTGTTTCACAAATCCTAAGAATTCAATATTGAACACAAGTTGCTTGTCACAAAACCCACTAAATTACCAAAGTTACTATGATTATGGCCTTCAACCCGACTTTGACCCACTTCCCAAAATATATCCTTTCCTGTTGATTTTTACTGTGGAAGGCACGTCACTGATATTTTGCTAGTATATATTTTCTTGTCAAATAGATTTTTTAAGATAAAAAGAAACATAACATATTGTAGATTTTCTAATGTCTTTCTTGGTAGGTATATGTTGGACTTACACTTTTTAAAGAAATCAGTTTTGCCCTTTATTCTTTTCATGACAAAAGATACGACTTCATTGAGCAAATATAGTTCCTGACGCAAGATATTGACCTTCTGGAATGTTTTATGTTATTTTACTAGAACCGGAAACCTTTGGGCATTGATATTTTGCAAGCATACTGCTTGTCACTACCACTAACTTCATGACCTTGAACTTGACTTTTGAATATGACATACATACTTGAAAATGTCAGTTTTATCCCAATATACGAGGGCTGTTCGGAAATTATTGAGACATTGTGTATATTCTTCTTTCTAATGAACGTTTTTCGGTGAAAATTTGCATATACGTTTGACAAACTCTAAGAAGTAATAAAAACAAGAAATATTTTAAAAATATTTTATTTCATCTTTTCAATGGAATATTAATGTGTCAGTGGTAGGGGTACCCGGCGCAGTCACGAAATCGGATATTGAAAATATGTAACACCAACGTTAAAACTCCCAGTGGATACGTAGTAAGAGGGAAAATAATTCAAATTATGTATATAATATTTCAATTTAACTTTGACTTCATTTTGTGCAAGTTTGTTAGAATTTCGATCAGAAATACGGAGATCATTAAAATATTTACGCGCGGTATAGCTATCTGATAACGACGACAAAACGGATTTTGACGTCAAGGCGGAGCAGCGATCATACCTAAAATTTTGTGTAGCGGTATTGAGAACTCTTGTCCAGACTAAACGACCTGCTAAAACAATAACAATGCAATAAAACAAGTCTAAGGGTTTTTTGTTTCATTGGTATATATCATTTTCTTACAAATAATTCAACCAGAGTAAAAATAAAAGCCCCGGACGACCATCAATTATTACGGACTAAATAACGTTGACCCGCGTTGCATAACTCGGTACTGCATGATGCTAAGTCAACCTGTATTTGACACTTTTTGTATATTTTACACTGGGGTAGCAACAACATTGTTTTTTTTTTCTGTTTTTTGTTGTTGTTTTTTTTTTTAAGAATCGATTAAGAATTATAAGACACAGTTTGATTTTTGAAATGTTATATGTAATGATAGAGGAAGTAGATTGAATGCTTTCTGGTCATTTCACAGTGAGAATATATCGGCTGACCTGACGTTAAAATGACGTAGCGATGCTGCTCCAGGTCAATAGACATATGCTTGTTTATAATTTCACCGGAACTTATTTAATTATCCTATAAATTAGAAAGAAGATGGGTGAACAAGGCGTGCAGAATGCCTATAGCTTCAGATATTTAAAAAATCATTCAATTTGTTAATTAAGTATTTAAAGTAAAGTTCTCATTATTGAAAGGATGACTGCACTTAACGCCTGTTTTTGGGTCTTTTTCGGTTGCTTCTGTTGCTTTTATATCTAAACCTTGTTTCACTTTTGTATCTTTATGAAAGAATCCTGTCAATTTGGAACCAAATTTTAATCTTAAAATGATTTTAGACTGTGATACAATAAAATGATTCAATGTTTTTTGTCCTTACTGCTTTCCAAATATAGTGAATTTACACTTACCTGCCCTTGATTGAACATTAGATATGCATGAGAGGTGGAGCTAACATTGTAAGAATGGGTCTAAAATTAGACTTGATAAATAACAATGACATGTTTGGAAAAAAGAACGTGATCACTCTTTCCAATCTCCTTCTCCATTCTGTATGGCAAAAATACACTTCTGACTAAGGTTTCAAAACGAAATTAACAATATGAGCACGTCAATGTAATTAAAGCAGATTTTATATCAATGCCAGATGACTTGACGTGTTCGAACACAATGTCCTAGTTAGCACAAAACATGCTACCTTACAAGTCACGTGACGGAATTTAGTATTCACAAAGTTATCTGGGGTAAGAAATCACGTGGTGAATTATAATATTCAACATGTCACAATCCTTGGTCACAACACAGAGAGCGGATGTAAGAAGAAGCCGTTTTTTCTCTTTTTCACCATGAGCGCATGTTTGTCTATTAATCTCCTTTTGACACATTATTATTTATGCAAATATACAACTACTGTTAAACGTAGAACAATAGACAAACATGCGCTGACTATGTATAAAGTCAGTAAAAAAGTGGGCGTCCTCATTATCGAACGGAGATACAAGAAATTGTGATGACCCCTGCCTTTGAAACAGATTCGAAATTCGTAAATACACACTTTTATTAAACGTAATTACATAAAGTTGTAGATTGGATGTTGACCATTCTTACAATGAAAAGAAATATGCTTGTTTTGAAAGTTTATTTTGTCGCAAATTTCGCATGTCCTTAAGTGCAGTCATCCTTTATGAAATTATGATCAACAAAACTTTTCTGAGAAAAAAGTATTCTTTTATTAAAAAAAAAATAAAATAGTATTCGTGGGATTCGAACCCCTAACTATAAAATTCCGGAGTATCGTATTGCTTTGAGACTAACACGCTAACCACTACGCTACACAGCTCCTGATGAAAAGTGGCATTTAAATCATGTTTGTGATATGACCCTTGACTTAATGGACTTCGAGTATTTCTCGGAAAGATGCAAATGCTTTGTCATAAAAGTGTACTTTTAAGGTATAGTGGGTCTTCGCTCCATGTTTTTGTAAACCAAAAAATGCTTATTTTTATGCAAACTTTTAGGGTTAACTTTCAAAAAAATGGAGCGAAGACCCACTCATATCGAAAAATTCAGTTAAAGTATGAGAAAATGATCATTTTTGTCCTCTTTAGTGTGTGTGTGCTACTTCGTAGGCAAATAATTTTAGCTTTTGTGAGATTTTGGTAAATTGTAGAGATTTTATATAAAGTATCCTTTAATGTTAGATGAAATATCAAAGAAAATTTTGATATAATCGAGATTTTATTTTTCACTTCATGTTTGTCGCACTATAAGCACTTCGCCCGGCTTGTTCACCCATCTTCTTTGTACATTTGTTTTATTTGTTCTTTAAAAAACGTTGACGAATTTTTATGAATTTATCTCTGTCCTTTGTGGAGTAAAAGTATTTGTCTCAATAATTTTCGAACAGCCCTCGTATTTTTCAATGGCAAACGTTTTATCGAAAATGCTTAATGCTCGTCACCAGAGTACTGTCATAGAGTTTTGTACAAATATAAAACGATAATAAAATCACTTGTATAATCAATATTTTCCAGTGTTGGGTTTTTTTTTGTTTTTTGTTTTTTTTTTTTTGCTCAAACCTAAGTAAGAAAAAAACATGGAATACACCCAGGGCACAAAATTACGTGTAGTTTTTTTGTCAATATCTTTAAATGCCTTCGATTAAAATATGCAGGCACGTAGCATCATGGGGCGTGCCCCCCCCCCCCCCACTTTTTCCCAAACATAACATTTTACTATTGAAAATGTTCATTGAAAGCCCCCCCCCTTTTTGTTGCAACATAGTGAAATAAGGTAGTGTATGAATAAAGTTTGGTACTAAAAGAAGTGTCAAGCTCCCTCCGAAATTGTGTGGAGGTTTTTGATAAAACTAGAAAGTGCAAAATAAATGCATAAACTGAGAAATTTGAAACAAAAAAACCCAAAAAACAAAACGCACCTCGACCACCTTTTAGTCACTTCGATAAAATACATCCCTCATACACAGTGTAGAAAGTACAAGGTGACAGTATCTAGGTATTATTAACCTCCACTTGTATGTATATATCCTTGTTTTGTAATATTTGTATAGAGGCTAAACTTTTCCTTAAGACTTTCTTTAGTTTATTGACCACTTTGCTCTGATTATGGCCTTTGACATACATATCAAATTAAAATAGATGAATAAGCACTTTCTCTGGTAGTCAGATTAAAGCTCCAAATCACAGGGTTTTGAGACAGAGCAAAAACAGGTATGTGTATCGATCCCTTGACTGTATATGCCAACTCCTAATAATCTGTACTTCTGTAGTAGTTTCGGCTATGTATGAATCGTGGATGGGTAGCTCAGTGGTTAGAGCACCTTAGTAATACAGTACTCCCGGGTTCGATTCCTGGTCCAGCCATCTATCTTTTCATACTACACTTCCAAACCAACAAACTATCTTGTACCAAGTCTTTTTACTCAATATCGAAACAAAACAGTGTGCGATGGGATTGTCATTATTTCTTAAAGATCACATAGATGAACCTTCCAAATTCTGATGTGGAATACCAAGTATCTGGATTACTCTAAATAACTGTAAGCAGTTGACTTCCTTTCGATGAAGGTCAGTTAGAACCGAGGCCACCCTGCCCCCCTCTAAATATTTTCGCAAGTATACACTTTACTATAGAAAACATAGAAAATTCACAGTTGTGTTCCCTCAACAAATACATTATCTAGATAACAACTCATGATCAATTACGGTTATGGCCCCTCAAGAACGTCTGATAAACTTTTTTTTTTCTTTTTCTTTCTTTTTGCAGTTAACCCCCCCCCCCCCAATCAGTAATTCCTTCCTATGGACTTGAAATTTTGTTCTAATATAAATGCTTTTTAGGACGATCCAAATCGTTCCACTTAGCTTTGTATAAAGGACACAGCTACATTTTGGTGTACTTGTTTTATTCCATGTTTCTCTTGCTTTGAGCAACATTGATGTTGTAACAAGGCATTAACAAAATAAACATAAAAAAAATTGTGTTCCTTTCAAAAGAATGTTATTACCATACATGCTAATATTATATCCCTATCAATCAATAAAATATCATTCACACATCTTTCAACGAACACATCATGCTAGGAAAATAAGAATGTTTCATCCAAAAACATAAAAACAGCTTTTGACAAAAAACCCTTTTTTCATTTTACTAAGCATTAACATATATATGTGCCTAAAGAGCCTTTTGTTAATGAACATGAATATTTCCCCATCAAATTATATTGTTTTATAAAACTAAGCAGCAAAAACATTCAGTTCATCTTTAAACAAATCTTGGTGATAAACATAAATACACTGTATAAACATTAAAATTGTAGCACTGTCTGGACACACACACATACATACATGAATCACCAGAACACCACAATATAAACTGATATGAAATGTTTTTTGTGAAACACAATATGTATCACATAAAAGCACACATCTCCATGTCCAAGTTGCATAAAAATGTCTGACTAGGCATCAACTGCAATGCTTCTCAACATATACATGTATTTAAATACAATTTCATATATTCACAGTATTTTGCATAAATGGGACATTCATCAAAGCAATGATCAGAAAATCACAATGTCATGTTCCATATACATGTATTATGATTAATACTAAACTTGGCACTGGGTCACTGAGTTAGTCTCTATTACTGCCTTACAATACTTGGCAGTAAAAGTCGGTTCCCAACTATTACAGGTCCTGTTGCATGTTGCAGTCCTCCAGAAAGCACATGGGGTGTAGCTGCATGAAGCTGAGCAGCAGCAAGTTGCTGCTGAGCTAACAAAGGATGCTGAATGAGTGTTGGTTGTGCGAGTCCAACATGAACACCTCCTAAGGGCATCTGTGCTTGTAAAGCAGATGGCAAGTGAGCGGGCTGGGCCCCAGCAGCAGCTGCTGCAGCTAGAGCTGTTATGGATGAAGAGGCTGCTGGGTGGGCAAAAACTGGAGCTCCAGAAAACAGAGGATGACCAGCTTGTGAAAGACTTATACCAGATGCTTGAGAAAGGGCAATTGTTTGTCCTAAAGCATTTTGTCCAAGAGTCACACCCTGTGGTAATGCCACTCCTTGTGGTAATGTCATTCCCTGGGGTAATGCCATTCCCTGCTGTAAAAGAACATGCTGTGGGTGCCCAGCTTGGATTAGCTGTGGGGCCAGTGTTAGTCCTCCAACGCCTGCCATCTGTGGTTGTGCTATAAGAATTGTTGGTTGAGCAAGTGAAAGTGATGGAGATGGTACAGCCACTAAACCTTGTGCTAGTTCTTCTGAAATTGCATCCTCAGATCCGTCTACATCTTCCTCCTCCTTTTTGGGTTCCTCTTCCTCAGACTCGGAAGATTCACTAAAAGGTTCACCAGCCTCTATTTTCTTTTGTCTCCTCATTTGTTTGTTGGCATGTTTCTGAGCCTGCTCCTGGAGACGTTTATATTGCTCTGCCTGCTCAGGAGGTATAACAATGGACGGATTGGGAGCAATTTCTTCGACTGGTTTTTCTTCCTCCTTAGGAGGTTCTGGAGGTGGTGGTGTTGAAGATTTTGGTGGTGGAAGTGGAGGATGTCCATAACCTGGAGGTGGCCTCATTGGTGGATATCTTGGTCCATGGTAGCCATCATGCATTGGGCCCATTCTTGGTGGCCCGTATCTCATGTCATGATGTGGTGGTCTTCTAGGTCCATATGGCCCCATGGGCCCCATTCGAGGAGGTCCATATCTCATATCATGAGGAGGTGGATACCTCATGTTTGGATGCATCGGTCCTGGCATTCTATCACGAGGTCCATAAGGCATTGCATACTGAGGAATAGGCATGCCATAGGGTCCTATCTCCTGCTGCTGCTGCTGCTGTGATGGGGGAGGAGGGGGTGGATTTGCAGATGCAGTAGACGTTTTTGTTGTGTCTGCTGTAGGTAAAGGAATGTCATTGAAGTCAGTACCCTCAGGCACATTTTTGTTTTCTTTTTCAGCTTGCTTACTTGCTTCAATGCCTTTCTTCACTAAGTCTGAGTGTTGCTGTTTTTTGTCCTGGATTTTCTTTACAAGATTTTCTGCAGGTTTATCTTCATCATTAAAATTTGGCAAGGGAATATCAAGAGGATCCTCTTGTTTGGCTTTTTCTACGTCACTACTGCGTATTCTATAATGTTTCTTGGGACTTTCTGTGTCTGATGAATGAGAATGCCTTGATGAATGACTGTAAGTGCGAGAACGATGCCGAGATCTTGAGCGTCTGTATGACCTTGATCGTGACCTTGAATAACTAGAACTTCTACTTCTGCTTCTTGTATAGGATCTATAAGATCTCGATCTTGAACGTGATCGTGAACTTGAATATGACCTTGATGAACGGGATCTTGATCTACTGTAATCAGAGTAACTGCTGTATGAAGAACTAGAGTGGTGTCTTCGTCTAGATCTGGACCTTGTTCTTGACCTAGAGTAGGATCTAGAGTGTCTGGAGTCATAGGAAGATGAACTATAGGACCGTCTGCTTCTGCTTCTTGACCTTGAATAACTTCCAGAAGATGACCTGTGACTCCTACTGGAGTGACTGTGACTTCTTGATCTGCTGCGGGAATCCATACTGGAATATCTGCTTCTTGATCTCTTACTCTTTTCCGACTTTCTTGATTTCCTTTCCTGAACAACCGTCTCTTTCAAAGTATCAGGTACACTTTTCTTCAACACAGTCTTATTTACCGTTTTATTTTGTGATTTCTTCTTCTCTGCAACCTTTTCCTGTTGTTCTGTTTCACTCTCACTTGTATCCCACTTGGACTTTGGGTTGTTGGGTACCTTAGCTTCAAACATATCCTCCATTTTGCTCCAGGTATCCTCTGTAACGTTATCCGGCTCTGGCATTTGTTTCGGGGTTACCTTTTGTTTCTTAGCTGCAATCACAGGTGTAGCATTAGCACTGGACTCACTGGTCTGACGCTTCCTCTGAGAAGATAAGCTTTTCCTTTCAGACCCACTTCCTGGATCTTTCTTGATCTTTTTAGCTGCTATTGGTTCCTTTGCTGCAGCTGGAGAGCTTTTACTTTTATCTAATGGAGACTGTTTTATGCTTTTTACTGGAGAGTCATCAGATGTCATTTCATCTGTGTCGTGCTTACGTTTCTTTTCACTTTTTACAGTTTGCTTCTGTGTTTCTTTCACTATTTTCTTATCCACGTTATTTTCATCACCACTACCAGATTTCACACTTCCTTTACGTTTCACCCTTTTTGGTTTTTCAACTTCTGCCACTTTCTCCTCATCTGATGAATCACTTTCCTCTTTTATCTTTTTCTCTTTCTCTTTGTTACCTTCTTCATCATCATGATGTGATTTCTTTTTCTTCTTCTTTGACTTCTTGGTTTTCTTTCTCTTCTTGTGCTTGGACTTTTTACTTTTGCTGTCTTCCAAATCAGAATCAATACTGTCTTCAACATCACCCACTTCAGCCTCCGAGTCATGGCCTTTATCATTACTGTCTACCCCCTCAGTTATTTTCTCATTTTTGCTCTTCCCTTCTGCCTTTTCATCCTGGTCTTTAGAGCTTTTATGCTTCTTCTTTCTCTTCTTTTTCTTCTTTGATTTCTTTCCATTTTCTTTACTGCCAGATTCTTTTTCTTCTTTCTCATTGACATTTTCCTTTGATTCATTAAGGTGTTTACTTTTCTTTTTCTTGCGCTTTTTCTTGTGCTTGCTATGACTACGTCTGGAAGACCCTGCCTTCTCCTCTTTCTCTTTTTCCTCTTGATCTTCTTCCATCTTCTCTCCATCTCCCCTCTCATCCACTGAAGATTCAGTCTTAACGGCCTGCAATGCTGTAATGTCATTTTTAAATTTCTCCATTGATGCAGGTTTTCCGGACAATAACTCACTGAAGTCAAAGGAAAGGGGGTTACAGCTGAAACTAATGCGAGGTTCAGTGGTGGTGACCTTCACCATTTCAGTGGGCCAATCCAATTCTGTAATTTCATCCTTACTCATCACTTTTAAAAAATTTTCCATCAAAACTGGTCTGAATGAATTAATTTCTCTTGGTTCCTCTGGTTTTGCCTGCTCTTTGGGAGATGGTGTGCTATTGCTGTTCCTGGACTCCTCTTCACCGTTGACCTCTTCTTCCTTCTCCTCTGGAAATGCTGCAGAAGATCCAACTTTACTTCCCATTTTCTTAAAAGAAAAGGAAACTGCAGCAGAATTCTTCTCCCTGAAAGGTTAAAATGAAGAGTAAAGCAACCCTCATTGAAAAAAAATTGCAGTACATTCTGAATGAGAATAAAACAAATAAAACCCACTTTTCTAGGTCATTTTCAACCTCTAGGGTGGTTTCGTCCTTCCCTCTGACTTCATCTTGTTTCTATAAAAGAAGTTCATCAAAAGATCACTTTGCTGTCCAAACACATGAAAGCAAGAAGGAAACAGGCTCCTGGAAAATCTTTAATGTTATTCTTCATACCTTAGCTCCACTTTTAAGTGGTTGCTCCACCTCAAATATGGGCGAGTTTCCACCACTGGGCTTGGCATCTGTCTTTTCCACTGGTTTGCTGACGTCTAATCGTCCCACTGTGATCCGTCTGCGTTTTTCCTGTACAATTAAAAATATATTTACCTTTTTTGCTCATGAAAAAATACGAAATCATGGCACTTGAATTCATATTTGCTAACCAAATGTTTCTGGGCCACTCCACTCCTCATTAAGAAACTGAACTTGATTTCAACAGCTTCTTTAATAAATACACTAGTAATAGATAACAGTACGAGTTGAGGCCTTCTTGTTTCTTTTTTAGAAAAGAGTAGAAGCTCTCTGAAAGTCATTCATGATAGACATTCACTTAAGCATTTGATATGTATTTAATTTCCCTTTTTTCAATTTCCAGGGGTCTATGTTTTATGCCCTGTTTCAAGATTAGTATTGTTTGTAGGTTTTTCAAGATTGATCACTGTTCATTATCTTCACCTACTTCATTTACCATGCTTACTACCATATATCATGAATTTTTAACCAACATATAATTGACTGAAATTGCTTAAATTTAGTTGTGTTAATAAAAAATTCACTTTTAGGGGAAAAAATGCTAAATTTGCCAGTTGCTAAAATAACCCATTATATGGTTATTTTGTTAAACTGAAGATCACAACATTAGAATTCCTCACCTCTTTCAATGGAGCACTTGGCTGTGATTCAGACTTGACTGTAATTTTACTTTTAACATCAGATTTTCCTGTTAAAGATAGAAATCAAAGCAGTTAGAGTCAGCCCAAAACAACAAAATTCCTGGTCATTAAAATAATAAATTATGGCTGGTATATAAAATAGCAACCCTATATTGCAGGCAGGAGGTACTACACAGCAACTATCATCTAAATACATCAAAAAACTCTTTTAATTTCAAACAGGAAAGGAATAGGAATACAGATTATATGTACATATATATAAAATATATGTCTGTGGAGTGTTACCTTTGTGAAGAAAAAAAACAATTAAACAGATAATCGTTATCTGATATTTTGGCTACAAATCCATAACCATGGTTACCACCGAAAGCCGATAATGCCAAATTGTGACAGATTTGAAAATGGTGTTAAAAAGAGAAACATACACACTTGCTAACAACCCTTTCAACCATCTGTTGTTGGAACATTTACCATTTAAGTCTAACAAGAAAAACAATTAAAGTTTCTACTATAACATGCATTACAATTTTTTCTTCTGAATTGAAGACTTCTTTTGGCACAGAGCGTTAGCAAGGTTTCTGTAATTATGCCTAAATGATGCCCTACAGTCATGCAGATTCAAGATCTCCCATATATAAGCCACTACTTCAAACAAGGGGGAAATTAGTAGGCCAAATATTACAGACAAAATCCACATCGGAGGGCCTCTCTTGATTACAAGTCATATTAAAAGACATGTTACATGTCACAAGCAGATATGTATACCAATAATGTTCATGGTGTAACAATGAACTATATCAACTCAAAATTTCATTTGGTACATAAATCCTTATTTAATTCTTAAAATTATTTACCTAAAGCTACTGTAAAAGAAAAGAGCTTAAATTTTAAAAATTAAGTTAACTGCATGTAATTGTCCATTAGAACACCATGAAATTTGTAAGTGAATGAAGTGAAACATGTTTTGAATTCTTCAAAATATAAAAATAAATCAATGAAATAAATAAATGGAAAAATATGAATGAAACAAAATTCTGGAAGTGGATAAAGCACACTTGCAAATAGAACAAAACATGTTTCAGAGGTGGATTGGTGGGGGGTTTGTACAAAATTTTAAAGATCCACTTCATTTTTCAGGAGTGACAGCATTACAAAATTTAACTTTGAGTTCAAATAAGTTTGCATGTTCAACTGAATTTAATCAGTATTAGTAAAAGTGCATTCAAATTAAAAAATGAAAGTGGGTCACTTTAAAACTGAAAGTGAAAGTGGATCTCTGCTGGATGCAGCAAGACAAGTGTATGAAACAATGAAAAAGTAACACCACTACATACACAAAAGCATGGATGGTAAATCCTGTTAACAAAATAAATCAGTCTAGCAAAATACAGGCAGAATTCACGATTACATTATGTAAGAGGTTACATTTCAAATTGAGATCTTTACTTCTTTGATTGTATTTATAATGAAACATTAACAAGTATTAAAATTGAAAATTTCATCTGCTGAGAATTTAAGAATATATAGAGCAAATCCTGGATTTCACCAACAACAATTATATTACAATGTCTATATAGTCACATTATAAAGGTACTAAAGAGAGAGAAAACTTGTAAAGACAGAGGTTACCACAAGTCCTAAATATTGTCCACTGGAAAATTAACAAACAAGATCAACTTATGTTCCCCAAGAAAAGTTTATACTTGAGCTAGAATATTTAAATTCTTTAAATTTGCTGATAAATTATAACAAAATAAAGATGTTTACTTTTCAAGAGATAAAAAACTTAAACAATTATTTATAAGCATTATTAGTGCAAACAACCCAGGTCGGCTGAGTGTTTGATTCTGTGAACTAAATATAGTGTCAAAACCGTGAATGACTAGGTTACCAACATTCACTAGTTTGGTTTAGCAAGTGTAAAATGCTTCATGATTATCTTTGCATTTTATAGACAGCACACACAAGAAGTCATTTCATTAGAGTTATTACTGATCCAGTGTAAGTATTAATCATATAATATACAAAAGTACAAAATCTAAACTAGATAAATGAAAAAGAGGAAAAAACAGCCAAAGTCTTCACCTTAGATTGATCATGCACTTTTTTTGATTGTTAAAAAATAAGACAGAAAAGAAAACTACACACATATGACCGTTCTCACATGGTCAGGAAAACTCTGCAATGGTATATTAGATTTCATATATCTGTGTTTTGTTTCAGTCTCTGCATGCACTAAATTTTACACAGTCTACAATCCTAGTACAATATATGCCATACACAATATATGCAAAGCCCAAATTAGTACATATAGTAATAACACGACTAAGTAGTTCTGTGAAGCCAAAGAAATGTGTATTTTGCACGTTTTTATCACATCTTTTTTAAAGAATCAGTATTAATAAACAAAATCAAAATATTTATATTTTCTGGTCCATCCATTTAAAAACAGATAAGGCATGGTGTCCAAAAATGATTGCAAATGTAATTCATATTTTTAACAATTAAGTGTAAGTTTTGTGCATTTTGCTTAATTCTAAAAATATAGGATTACACATTTAACAACCTCCTTAGCATTTAAGCTATAGAAATGTGCAAATATCAATATGTACTGTGCAAACAAACTCCAGTTAGTATTATGCTTTCTATAATAGCAATCACGTAACAGTCTGATCTTCTCAATTTTAATTCTTTTACTTTAAAATGAATCTGACTGAACTTTTAAGTTTTATACATGTATAAATTATTATTTGTAAGCTTCAGTATAATTTATTTCTGACTAACTTTAAAATGTTTAGTGCATTACAAATATGAACAAAAAACTAAAAAATCACGCCAGTTTGCCTCCACATATAATTCTATTAAAGAAACTTTAACAAGCACATGGTAAGCATGAACATGGGTATGTAATGGTAACGAATGTCTCTCCACTTATTAAACCACAGCATGCTGTAATAAGCAACAACATAACAGTGCATTTTACCCACAGTGAGCAGGAGTTATTTCCCCCTGTTTATAACAAAACACTTTGTATAGTTACTTGGTTTTGAAAAAAAAAAAAAAATCAGTACACATTCATTGAAGTTCATCTCTAAAGCTTAATATCATTTTAAAAAGAATATTTCAAACTGACATGAACATTTCTTTTATATTGAAAAATTATCAAGCAATTTGCTTTGTTTGTTTAGAAGCTTATCATAACTGAGAATATTATATTTCTGTAACAATGTCAATGCAAATTCAACTAGTTTCAGTCACCTTACAATACACATGCAAACAAACGTGGGGGGGAAATTAAGTGGGTATAAATGTGTATAAAAGCAAACTCCATGAAGAGTAAAAAAATCTCCACGATAACCAGTCTGATTCTCTGTGAGTTTTGTATAAGAAGCCTACAGAATCCTTTGATAAATAGTGCTTTTGTAACTTTTAATGATGAAAATGTTAAAAACATTGAGGAGAGAGAGAAAGAGAGAGAGAAAGGATGACCAAAACCACACAGTTAGTAAAAAATGTTTTGGTTACGTTACTCTAACTACCATAAGATTACTGTCCATACACTGTTGCTTTTTTTTTTTTTACCCACAAAACATCAAGAAATATCTATGTAGAAAAAGAGAAAATGATTGACATTTATTCATGAATTCCCATCAGTTTCTGCATTATATCTGAATATCTGGGAGCACAGTGGCATATCTAGTTAATATTGACATAAAGTTAAAAGCTGAATGCTTTGTCCGTTTATCAATAATTTATCAATATTGGTAGTATAAGCAAACATTACTTCTAATAAATGTTTTTATTGTTAGAGCATTCTCTGTTTATCTTATATGCTTTTAAAGAAATTTTAAGGCATTGACAAGAAAAGGTTTTTCAAAAAAAATTGAGGAAAGGATAAATTGTAAAAATCACGTACATTGTGATTATGTACAAAGAAACGGGGTTAGAATGACTATGTCTTCCAATTCTCTACAGTCAGTTGTGATAATAATAATTAAGATAAATGTTTTGTGTTCTTAAATTCTGTCAATGGTGCTCTTTGCAAGCATAAAATGAAGCCAAGGTGGTGATTACATATTTGAAAATGCACACCTGAAGTACACAATCATACAATGGATTAGTTGCTTCTATTCTATGTCAAAGCACAGAACACCAACACTTATCTTGTAGAATTTTTCTAAAATGTTCCCACAAATCAAGAAAACGCAATAATCAAATTCTTTCTAAAATTTTTAATGTTCTTAGTTGTCAATGAAAGAGAAACTTATAAATAATTCACTTTGCTTTTTAACAATGTTATAATCTTATTGCATTGGTGTTTGCTTTGGACATAAAAAGATTTAGGAAATGTGAGAAAATTTCTATGTACTTGCATACATGAAGGTGTTTTTCTGCTTTTTTGTAATGCAAGTAAGTACCTGTATTTTTTTGTCAATGAAGACATGATAATGCAATACATGTAATATATATAAGTATATGTATATATACAAAAAGGACAATTAAAAAAAAAAAACTAAATATATAGACAACGACCAAACCCTGCGCACGCACATAAGACAACTAGCAGAGATTATAAGATAGCAGAAAAAAAAGATGTTTGGGTGTTAGAAATATAAACACTTGATGTGAAGATGTTAAGAGCTGACCTGTGTATTCTAAGTCTGGCCTAGTTAGAGGGTATCACATATAAAGAATACAAACAAATGATTTACCAATCATAATTATCTGTAAACTCGCCACAAAATAGGTCACATTGTTAATACATCATTCAACAATTCAGGTATCCAATTTTTTTTTCTCATTTTTTCAATAAAAGCAAGTGAAACATACATATTACAAGTAAAAACAAAACTTTTTTTTTTTAATTGTGTTTTAAGTTGGAGCATTGGAAAGCAATTTATTGCTCGATATCCCTAAAAACATACAATAAAATGAAAAAAAAAAGTTCCTCTTTATTTGGTATAAAAACCATACTGTAACATTCGTTACTCTGTAATATATATACTCATTGTTACAAAGAAACACCCATGATATCTGCAATCCATTCATTTTGTATCAATAACATTTTTTTGGTCATTCAACAATCATGATAAAAAAAAACTTTTTGAACCTCAAAGATTTGCCATATATGAAAACAGCATTGATCCCGACACAGATGATTGCTCAACAGAGTGCATGACGCTTAATAGGAGCCTGTAAATTATCACTGAAACAATGCAGCATGCTAGCACGTATCACAGTTCCCAATACCCATGCAGCCGCTCTCTTCCAAGTAAAGGGGGCGGCACTACACGAATACACACTTACAGAAAATTGCATCCTCCCAATATTATCATTAACATGTATTAGATATGACCCAAGGCAAGTAGATGTTACAAATAGGAAGAACAAAACACTACCTTTGTGTGTATATATATATTCTAAGAAGTCTATATATAAATAAATAATCATAGGTCTATAGAAATTTTCTGAAAGCCATAAAATTGAATCCAATCAAATTTTGATGAAAATTACTTCTTTTTTTCCCCCCGTTTTGGTAAAGAGGTCTTGATTTCTAGTCCATTATTAATGAGATCAAATATGGTATGAAAGAAAAATTCTTTTTAGTATTAAAAAAATGAAAACATCTTCCACACTTGTCAGTAAAAAAAAACAACTGTATAATAAAAGAGTTCTCGTACTACAAACCAAAGGCACGCAATATATAATATATATGTATATTTAATTGAATACTTAAATGTTGTCTCAGCATTGGTAATTTGTATAATACAGAAGGCAATATTGTGAGGAGAATATACTATACCTGGTTGGTGCTTACATTGTCACCGACCTTGAATGCAGACAAATATGGAACAGATTAGAAATTCTTATATGCTTACAGATACCTATCTGTATACACCATAATACAAAATACATATACATGTTCTAATCTATACAGTAGGTGTAATTTAGAATTTCTTGAGTAAATTCTGCCCAACCCTTACAGCCCGCCCATACAACTAAGAGATTAAATATCATTCTCATCTCCAACACTTACTCCCAAATTAAAACATTTTCTCCACAAAAAAAAATTAAATATATTTTGATAAATAATATGTTTACCTGTTATCCTCATTACTCCAAATATTATCTTAACTGAAAATCAAATCATATATGTAAGTTTGGACATTAAAAAAAAGTTTATTTTTTCCATTTCATGATAATATCTTCATTATTTTAATTCTTTCTTCAAGAGTTATATTGATAATTAATGTGAAAAAAAAAACTTTCAATTTAACCCAAAAAAAATTAATGGAAAAAAGAGAAATTTAATAATTAAAGAACAAAAGCATGCAACATCAAACCTTGTATAAATAACCAGGGAATAACTCCATTTACAAAATACTATCATCATCACATCTTGTGATGAGAACACTTTCTCTAGTTTGTCTATAGTTACTGGTGCATAGAGGTGAATTAAGATGAAAAAAGCAAAAAAAAGTGAATGAAAAGGTAAAAACACATTTCTGTTGAGCAATCAATGATGAACGACAAAGACCCAAGCAATCAAATGAACTAAACCCCCTTTTTGACATCGTCCCCATATATGGCTTCTTTAGTCCACAAAAAGTGTCTTGGTTGCAAATATCATCTAGGTGAAACCTATATAATCTGGTACTTACTCATCCAGGATCAAACGAGTCTAAAGTGTAGGTACAATGAAGTTATGTTAGAGTTTGATCTCATTTTGGATTATGCATATGTTCATATAAATAAACAGAGAAACTGTCATATGCATTTTTTCTTTTAAACAGAGAAAATGACTCCTTTCCCTATTCTACTACACACACAATCATTTCTCTGTTTAAATGCATAAAAATGACCATACCTAAAATGCCCTCATCTGAAAATAAACTCCATACAAACCATTCATACAAATGTTTTTTTTTTAATTCAATAACAAAAATCCCTGAATACATGAACTGTCTGTCCTTTTAATCCCCCCAGTTGCTCATTTGATTTGTATTGCAGTGGTGAGTTCTCCTGTTTAGAGGGCAATTGAAACTTTATATTCATAGGGGAGCTTCTAAAAGTTGGGACCAATCAATGGAAATTCCCACTAATAACAACATTCACTAATCGTAAATCAAAAGCCCACAAAATGAGAGATTGTTCCACTGTCAATCATTCAAATCAACAACCACAGAGAGAAAAACGGAAATATCGACAGACAGTCCAGTTACGTTGATTTCCAGCCATTTTAGGCCTAAAAAGCGAAAAGTTGAATGAAGGGAAAATCTTGATACCTGAGTTAACTTTTGCAGTTGTCTCCCCTACTTTGTTCCCGTCACTGTTGCTGGACTGGGCAGGAACTGGCCTTGTCACCATAGACTTCATCATTGTTTTCTTTGTCATCAATCAAAGTCCTGCAAAAAGACACAAAACATGATAAAATAAAATACTTCCCAAGTAGATCTATATAATCTTAATCAATATGTATGAAAATAGTTAAAAAGTCCCAAAAGACTAATTGCTAACATCACCCAACCCAAGAGATAAATCTAATGTCCTCTCATTAACAGTTTTCTCGCTGACTAGACACAATGTAAATGACAGTGGCCTGGCTCCGAGTATCTCTGGAGATTTTTGTACAGAGTCAGGGAACCCCTCTCAATAGCAATATGTAAAACATACTGTACTATTCAATCTCCACTCTCCCATCAGTCAATAAATTCTCAGCACATTATGCTATGTTCTGGTGTTTCCAGTTTTTGACAAGGCAAAACTATCGGTTTATAGAAAATATTTTACTCTTTTGGTGTTTATGACATATCACAAATCATTCTGCTAAAAAAAAGTATCTAATTACTTCTTTTTTACAGTGTTTTTCAAGTGTACAAGCTCATGCCCTTTGTGTATGCTATTGTTATTTTAAAACCTGTGTTATTTTTTTTTAAGGAAAACTCTTTATAGAATATGTCATCTGAACAAAAGGAAGTATAAGAGAAATTGTCCTTTTATTATATCAAGGAAGTAAAAAAAATGTTTCCCAAACAAAAAATTTAGATACAAGATTAATGGACTTATACAGTGCAAACTTTGTTCTCTTCATTTCTAATTGAGCTAATTAACATCAAATTTGGTAAGACAAAGAAGACAAGTTACATCATAAATTTTTCACTTTTTCCAATTAAGTAATGCTTAATTACAAAGCCTTTCCAGAGGTGATGGGAACAAGATCTCTTGTCAAGCCAGACACCCAGTAACGAGACAGGCCGTGTTAATATGCTTCTCTCTCAGCTCATTACACAGGTGTCATAAGAAAAACACCAAGAAAAAAATGCAAAAAACATGATAAATGAAAAATATCTTTTCTCCCAATTTCACATTAAAGCCATGCAGTACACACCTCTATAATAAATTGGTGTTTAGATATAAATGCAGTGAATTTTTTTTTTTACGCAAAAGAAAAAAAAATGTCAACCTATAATAGTGAAAAAGTATACAGGTTTTTTTTCACACAATACCTGAAGAGAAATAGCTACTTCACAGCCTAGTGCACAGCTGCAAAAGTAATTTCCCAGGAAATAATTTCAATTATTCATAAGTAAAACAGTTGGAACTTCTTTTATTCTCTACCTGGGCATGCACAGAATTCTCCAGGTTGATTCATTTTACACATCAATTTATCTTTAATCGACATCTTCAATTTCAATCAACTCTTCTTGTAATATATCCCAACAGCTTCAAAGCCCCATGGTAATGGATTCATTATCTGGATTAACAAACTTCCCGTGAAAACTTTCATTCCCAATGCTTGTGCAAACTTGTTCATCCATGTCTGCACTTTGTGTTAAATATTTACCACGTAGTGCACTTAAGAAAAATTTGTCTCAACCCCTGTGTATTGTTACTTACCTTCCAAGATGTTGAATCTAAGTGACAATTTTTTTCCTTATAATGTAAATTTATTATTTCCTTTCCATACACACAAGAATTCACAATCAAACATCAAATATAAATGACTGTAAATATTTAACAAAGAATTGATGGCAAATATCTCTTTAATGTCTGAGATCTGTTTACTTAGGTATAACATTTATCAGATATACTTTAAATAAAATGAAACACATACAGTACCTGGTGAATACAAATTAACAGGCTGGAATCAATACCACCACCACTATCTTTCAAGAGTTGAGATCCGCTCCTGACTTATTTTGGCCGAGCAGAAAAACACTATGTAGGCTTCAAATTATCAACGCCACCTGTTGCAAAATTGAAAAGATAATGAAATGTCAACTCCATCCATTGTCCACACAACTATAACCTTAAGTTCTTCACTCCAATACAATCATCTCCTCTGCCTGAAGCATTGATTCAGGAAGTCGTGTCCCAGCCTGGATTGATTTTTATAATTTTTCCATACAACAGAGAAAAAAAAAGGAGACCAACACTTGCCAGGATTCTATGCTCACGATCACACACTTTTATATGCACATTGACATATAGATTTAATACACTAGAGGACACGATAGACTGATTATATGACAGTGATGCAATAAAAGTGGTATTGAAGATTTTCAAAGTGTATTAATAATATGCCATTTCACTCCAAACATGAATGACACAGCCTTGGAATAGGACATAACTAAGTCATTATAGTTGCCTGTAGCTGTAACCATAAGGAAGAGGCGGGCAGGACCTTTTCCTGATTATAGGGTGGGAGAACAAACAGAGGATTCTGTACTGAGACTGAGATTATTTATTTATTTTAAAATCCTTTTTTAACCTGCTTGAAAAGTGTTTTTCTTTCAAACTTTAGAGGAAGGGGAAAAAAAAAGATCAAACATTAGGATTTCGTCCTTGCGAAGTTTATTATTTTTAAATCCAAAAAATATTTTCAATGCATCTGCAAGTCATTCTTTTAAAAAAACAAATCTATAAGAATTACGATTCATTACTGCTTGAATATGTAAAAGCAGATGTTTAGATCATAAATACATCTCTAGGTCTTAAAATAAAACATAAAGCATATTTTCATACAGAATATGTCCTAAAAAATATTCTCCACTGCTTAAACATACAAATAAAAGTACTAAATCTGCATTCAATCAATCAAGAAAATTCTACTCATATGTTTAATAAAACAACTAAACCTTCAACTCAAGGCAAAATTTATTTTCCCTCTCTAAATCTTAAGATCATTAACAAACAAAGCTGATCGAGACTTCACTGACCTGTCAAGTTGGCCAGTTGGCAGGAAACTAACAAGACCCATGTACATGTAAATATTTCCCCACACATTTCAGATATCGTCTACATACACTTGTTCTAAAGGTTATCTCCTTATACCCTTTGTCTGTTTGGCTTACTGACAACAGACCTACAGCTGGTAAACCAAGAATATGTTACCGTGAACTGGCTAAGTAATGTCTAATTAACACTGTCATAAATAATATTTAATTAAACACACACACTCTCCAAAGAATATAGTAACAAATACACAAACATATGTGCCAGCAGAACTAATTAGCAATGGGATGCTATCCAAACTTATTCTCCATCTAGTCCCACGAGAAGGGGTAAACCGGGTTTTATTTGAAAAGACTCTTTGATTTCATATTCTTCCTGCCATCACAAGTCATTCATTAGTTCAAAACCAAGACAACCCAGCACATTAATGAAGGGTCAACCAAGCAAGGAAAAAGACAATGGCTACCATCTGTGTTTTCAACCAATATTTCACATTGTCTGCAAACCCATGTAATAACAACCATCAATCAATACTATTGATTCTGGAAATGATATTTTCTTTTCAAACTCTAACAACACTATTCATATTTAATGACATGCACTGGACATTTATCTTTATATTCCTGCTTAATTTGCATTTATACAAGTATTCGGTAGGGTCAAGTTTCAAATTCAATAAATCTCCAATTTCTCTTTATGCATTATTTAATGCACATGTAATTGAAGGGTTCAACTTGATACCATTAGATCAGAACACCAGTGTTATTAAGTAATCCTTATTGGAATCACAAGCTTTCGTATTGCAATGAAATAGACATTGAAGTCTAGGTGTGGAATGTGGATCTTGGGAATTCAAATCAAGGATTTCTGCTCTGAGAATATATGGCCATTAATTTTGTTTTTCACCACTGTAATACTGAAGATAAGTATACATCTTCAAATATATTTCATTCTAAAATCAAACAAGTATGCACTTAAAATTATATGTTTCAATGATGCAAATGTATATTCACATTAATACAACAGTCCACCACTAAGACATATTCTTTTAACAAATTTCTAATATTTTTAATTAGGACTACATGGCTTATATCTAATTTCTTTACTCACTCAATACATTTTTCAATATAAACAAATAATATAAGAAAGAAAATCATATAAAATGTCAGTGATCACAAACATAATCGAGCATCTATAAATGTTGTCAGGAAACACTGATCCTCAAGTCTCAAGGCTACTGGTGGTATCTAAAATCAGTGTGCAAAATACACTGATCACGATAATCCTGCTGATGTGGAAAAACTAAGGATTTGTTTGCTCTTGTCAAGAAAATTATACTCCATCAATTAAAGATACATTTATCAAATAAATACATTTAAAAGAAGTTAATCAAAAGCAGTCATTCTGTGATTAACTGATTTTTAACATACATGGAATCTGTTATTTGTCTAATTGTGTCCACTTTGCCACAATAATAATCATGAAAATCAATGACATAAAATAAATAATTAAGTGTACTGAAATCTACAACATTTTGGCTAGTACAAACTTGTCTAATATTGTTATGTAAACTTTGTGTTTATCTCTAAGAACATTAAGCTGTATCTTTCTTTGCAAGAGAGAGAATTTTTTTTTTTTAAGTTCTGAAGACTATAATGTATGCCTTTGCACTTTAATTTTTAGAGGCACTGTAATCTCCTCTCACATACTTTGTGACAAACTGGTCCAATTTAGCAGGCTTTTATCTTTGGAGAGTGCAATTTTATTTCAAGCACATAATATATTATCTAACTTCCTGAATGTTCCAACAAGTCTAATTCAACTCAGCTAACATGCAAATATTACCTTATATTTCTGAAATGTCCAGAAAAAGTGCCTTTATTTTTCTTTCACTCAGTATTCTTGTCTGTATAAGTTTATCCAAGCGAGATCTTGTTATTTCAAAATTATCTTCATCTGCATGATCTGTAATGAATGTTTTCACTTTATTTACATGTACAATGCATTTTCATAGTATAGCCCTAGGTTTTATAATATTCATTCATTTAAATGTAAAAAATATTTAATTAGATCATTAAGTAAGAAGTATACACTACATGCTCCACTTTCTTATTATGTCTAATGACATATAAACACTGTTAACAAAGAAAGACATTACTAGTAAATGTTTTAAACCTGAATGCTGTCTTATTTTGTACTGAAACAAGATACATGTGTATGTAGGTATAACGCTTCCTGCTTGGTTTCCTTGTAAAGTTAAATTCAACAGGACATTTTTCCATTGTTGTGTTTCCTGCCTAGCACTCGCCCAATGTTGATAAAAGTAAACATGTCCCTGTGCACATAAGCACATAAACTGAACTCATTATACGTGTACAAACAAGTCACTAACACAGAGCCTAATATTATGGGCCAATAACAAGACCGTTATTACAGTTTTACTGCATAAATGATAATTAACTTCCTGTCCTATTTGGTATAATAAATACTCTTTTTTGAAGGGGATATACTCTAATGATCAGTCCCAAAGTTTTATGGACAAAATAAAAGTCTGATAATCAATAATAATTCCCCACTTAAAATTGTAAATAAATAAAGCATACACAAGTTTTATGTCCAGGAAGTAAAGCTGACGACAGGTGATTTAAAGCAAAATTATGTCAAAAATGATAAAAGGTTCAGGGAAACAGGTTTCATTTAAAGCAATACCATAATGCAACAACAGGAAAATTGACACAGAAAGGATTTTTGCATAACATATACAAATTCTTAAAAGTATTAGCCTTCAGAAAATTTAAGGTTTCAGAACCTAAAAAATCTACTTTTATGGAGAGAAAAAAAAAAATTTTGTCAGGCCCAAGACGAAAATATTGCTTCACTTCTTCCTTCTTACTGTACACATGTGCACAGAAGTTGTGAAGTTGTTACCACAGACTCAAGTCCAAAGATGTGAATTTCAGTAGACCAGTGGTTTTGATACAATCTTCAGAAAAGATTATCAGAAATATTCCTCAACTTTGCATGCTCCAACTCACTATTGTTCACAAGTTTTACGTTAAAAATAGAAGTTGTGTAACCTTGACAAGGACGATAACAATGATAAGGTAGATACAACCTTTGTTTTTCCAGCACTTATATTTTGCAGTCTTTCTTGCTCTACAGTGCAGTTGAGTTTGTCAAAACTTCACTACATATGGAGCGTAGCAGAATCTCATTGGATTTAACTTTTAATATTTCATATGTGGTTTCTTCAAATTGTTTAATCACATAGATAATTAAGTAATCTTTGATTTAAAAAAGACATTATGCATGTACATATATGAATGTTTCTTCTTTGCTTCTATAATACTTGTATATTAAATGTGTTATTCACAGAATGTTTTCACCACTGTTAGTGAAATATCTGTTGATGGCGACCAGAAATTCTGAAATGGTGACCAAACAAAAACTTGGACCCCATATAGTGACCTGATAGTACAGTGTTTTTTTTCTCAGTACTTTGGGACTGGGGGCTGGGGTCCTCAGAATTGGGAATTTCAGCATCAGTTAAGCTAAACTGGGAATTTCCAAGAAAACCCAGTTGCATAAAAAGCATTGTCAAAAAACTTTGTTTTTGTCTTTGTATTACACTTTGTACTTTAACAAACAATTGTTATTCAACAAATCAAGACTATTCCTTTATCTAATTTCTTATATCAAGAACAAAAGTGGGTATGAATTATCTAATTATGAAGTAATCCACCACTGCTGAACAACAAAACTAGCTTGAACTTCACTGAGAAACATGCAATAAACAAACTGAATTTAATCACACATTTTGTAATTTTTTCTTTGGGAAAACTTCCAATACATTTTGGGAAAATACAGGCATATTTTCCATTGGGACTGGGGCCGAATTTCGGTCCCAAATCAGCCCTAAAAAAATCACTGTAGTAAGTGTGACTTGGAGCACTGCTCCAAAAACACAGTCACATGGTAAATATAGCAATATCTATGTTTACATATTGCTCCAAAGCTACACAAAATTGTTTTTCCCCTGAATAAATAGTATAATTACTCTGCACAGAGATGAATCAGCATGAATCTCCATTCTTTGATGCAAATAACTGATCGAGTGAAATTTTCCCTACAATGGTCGGTAAATTAAGGATGCAATTATCTAATGGGAGAAACTGGAGTTTAAATTCTGCAATTATGGAAATCATGCCACAGTAGAATTAAACCATGACAATTACATTAACCACAATGTTACAGGTCCCAAGCCTCACTTATAATGGGACATGCATTAATATGATTAAGTACAGCATTAATCTAAGCATATCAGATAAGTGTTCTTCATGTAAACATCAACATATAATAAAACCAGAAACTACTAAAGGTAACACACTTCTAAAAAAAATAATAAGTACTGGTACCTACAAATAGAACAACATCATCCAGGGCTTCACTACATACTTTTATATAATCTCAACATTTCGATACGTTTTAACTGTATCGATAATCAATGTGATTCAATGCTTAATATCTAATGCATGCAGGTTCAGTAAGACGACCCTGTCCCAATACTTGATACTGAAATTCCTGAACTTAGAGGAACTCTTTTGCGTTGGAGGTAGGAAATGTCCATTAACTGAGGACATGCTGTTGAAAACATCACGAGATCTATCAAAGTAGACTTTTTAAGGACACATAGAGAGAAGTACTGGTGAAATATCTTGCCTAACATTCAGTGAACTGTGCTAACAAAACATAAGAGGAGCTGACCAAGTCCTCTTATGTTACATTTTCATTGATACTTTCTGCTAAGCTCAATCTTCTAATTAAATTCAACCACTTCTTTCTAATAATTATTACGTTTTGAATTCAATAAAGTGTTCTAAACATCCGAATTAGAAAACCTACCATCTGGAGTGCAACTCTCGGCAATATATTGTACTTTCGGCATACTAACTTTTCAAATCATCCAGAAAAATCTTGAAAGATTTAGAGATTCCTTGACTTTCCAACAAAAGAATGGCAGTAAGGAAGATAACCATGGGAGTAATTAAGATACTGTTCACTAAGTATTGAAAATTGACTCCTCCCCCCTCCCAAATAAAAATTCCCAAATGGCAAGCAGATTGAAATTTTTAATGCCTTTTATCAACAATCTTGAATACTGAAATCATATATCTATAAAGATGTGAATACAGGATAAGCCTACAATCTAGCTGTCTTTACCTATACAAAAGAACACAATATGTCATCAATCATTCCAAAATTTGCTCCTTTCTTCTCTAATTAATTCTCAATTCAAAGGGTACATGTATAGGACCCTGTACCGAAAGGGTTAAATTACCCCTGTGATTACTTTTACAAATGAACATGATGAAAAGAAACTCAAAAAGTTTTATGACAAATCCCAAACATGAACTAAGCTATCAGACTAATCTATTTCACTATTTGAAAACTCTACTGAGATGAACGAATTTTTTGGACAATAATTCTGCATATTTTGGATGATGCAAATTAAGCCTAAAATATTACGGACATGGGTTTTTCATGAAATATTTTACTTAAAGAACTCCCCAAACCACATACCACTGTGTCCAAAGAGTAGGTAAGACTTGTGGATGATCATGGTTTTGCACATGAAGCCTATATTCTCTTGAACCCAATCTATTTTAAATTCATGTTATCTGCTCATGCTTTGATTCTTGATCTGAAGATATCTAGTTCATCAAAATGCATATAAATCAATTCAGTTTGTCCTTTTTTTACTTGAGATCTAAGATTTTACCTTAGTCACATCATTGTTTCCTCAGAATACAAACAGCAGCATCAAAGTAAACCTCCAAGTTCTAAAATAAACCAAAATGCATTAATCAAAACTTAATTACAATTTGCACAACCAATAAAGTAAATGAAATGAAGACCATTTCGTTAGAATAAAGAGATAGTAGATTTATTGTTTTGAATTAATTTATCAGGAAAAAAGACCCCGCAAAACTGCCTTTATTCACCACCATGCTTTTCTTTTTCTTTGTGACATCAAATGTGCCTGAACAGGACAAAATATTTTTCCATAGATCACTTTGATCTAAACCAAGTTTTCCTGTGATTTTACAGTGTAATAAGTGTCTACCAACATACATGTGGATCTAAAGGGAGTGGGGGTGGTCTGTACCCCTTCTGGGATTTTCAGGAAAGTGAGTTGTTCTAACACCCCATCCCAAGATGGTGGCCAAGGGGAATAACTCAGAGAGAAAATATGTTTCTATAGCTGTATAGAAATTTATGGATGTTAAATTTTAAGTGTTTAACATTAAATAGATCACAGGAATTCGCAATTTTATCAATAAAGTCAATAGAAATCACTTGTTTGACCACCCCAATGATTTTACCGATATAGAACATAGCTACTATATGCTTGTGCCCCCTCAATAATAACATCTGATGACCTTTTTCTTTTGCTTGTCAAGGAATTATTTTGGTACTTGACAGTGCCCTCCCAACTGAAAATACATGGTTGTGCCCCATCAAAGTGAAATTGCTTCCTATGGGCCTGTCTTCAGCACAGGTCAATCAATGACCTTTCATTCCCTAATTCTAGACATATTCTATAACCAACCTGTATATTTTATCCACCTCCTAACCCTTTCTAGGTGTCTCTGAAGACCAATAAACTTGCTTGTTGCGAATTTGTTGTTGGTTGGCATAAAATTCACAACATGGAATGAATTTTATCGATGAACTGAGTTTGTAGGACAATATCATTTTAACTAGCTACAGATCTGTACCTTGCTGGTCTGAGTTTTTTTTTCAATGGGTGGCACTGTAGCTCTCTGGTCGCCCATCTCTAGTTTTTTCAGACCAGCAAGCTACAGATCTGCAGCTACATTTTAACAATAGAACGTTCTATCTATGCTAACCCATAGCTCATGACTTGATCTAGATAGAACGTTCTATCGTTAAAATGATATTGTCCTACGGACCCGGTTTAATGATAGAATTCGTTCCGTGTATTGCCAATGTTGCAAAATAAACACGGGTGATAACTCGTACTCTGTGCATTTTCTATGAACAATCCAGAGAGTTCCGAATGTCAACATGGCGTTAAATTTGAAGTGAGGAAAAAACATTGAGAAAATGAGTTGAATTTTCATATTTATATGGATTATTTTTTTAGGTTAAAAGACACATACCATCTCAAAAAGGTTTGTTACGATTACTTTGGTTGTTATTTTCAGTGCAACTCCTTTTGTATTATTCAAAATCATTCGGAGTGGATCCACTCCGATTTGCTACATTGCAAGTATATGGGACATATTCTAACTGTGGTGAGGGCTTGTCCCGAGACACAGTTATGTTATTCTAACTAGACTTGATCAATCGAGTGATTTCTATTGACTTTATTAATAAAATTGCGAACTCCTAGATCTACTACTATCACAGGCACTGAAGTTAATGTAAATATAAAGTATGTGCATGTATCCTTTTCTATACATGCACATACTATATATTTACATTAACTTCCAAGTGCTCGTGACTACTATGAAAATACTGCAGAAAACCAAATAATGAAAATTATTAAATAAACAGATAGTCAAATTAAAACAGGAATACAACAAATAATATTGGTGTCTTTTTCTATGAGTGCATTTCGAGTCGAAATTTTCAACGACATATTTGACCTGCAATGTGCACAAGTACTCAAGAATGAAACAAGATTTGACATGAATATTTGGCAAACTTTCAAGACCAATTTAAAACCCAAATCTACACGTTACTATTGATTAATAATTGAAATATTATTTATTTTCATTAAAATGATATCAAAAAAGTGGTAAAAACATAGTAAATTACCAAGAAAGTAACATATTCAAGTTGCCGATTTGTCCTCCGTGGTCGCCATATTCGTTGGCATCTCCTATGGCTTCTTGATTTTGATTGGCGAACGATGTTAAGACTTTTGATCCCGATATATATGTCATTTTAGTGAGGTTCAGAGATGCTGAGCGTATTTGTTTATAAAGTATTATTTTTCTTTAAAAAAGGAATGTACTTTTATGCATGATTATACATAAAATGATGCAATGATAGCCATCGATAAAAAATATTTGATGGAAAAGAAGACAATTTACCTCGGACTCATTATGAAGCCCAGCTTGGTCACATGATTTCAAAATGGCAGACGACGTGAAACGAATTTACTTTTTAGTTTGCAGTGTTCGTTTATATATACATGTAACTTCATCCCTTGTAAACGAACACGGATTCGTTGAAGAATTTTCATTTGATTCATCAATTAGAAAAATCGACGATTTCAAATTTAACTTTAAACAGGAGGGAAATGTTAATGTTAACAACAACAAAATAGGTTTAAATGATGCACAAGAAAGACGTATGCTCAAGGACGGTGAAGTGATAGTCCTAAAACCAGGAGACGCCGCGCATTCGTTTAGCTTGTGGACACTCTCAGGAAAATTTGACTATCCCACCAAACAATTTAATAAGGTGCCTTTAATAATACATTACTTTGACCCTACAAGTTCTGCTTTTCTGGACTGTTTATGGAATTCAGATGAAGCACTTTTGCCAATTGTTCAAAATGATACTAGAACACATTTTCTTTTTATTCCTTCTACTAACAAAGTACATGCACAGTATGGAGCAGAGTGGATGTATAACAGGATAAATACATTAGTTAAAAGTATTTCCAGGTATTTACACAAGCACTTTGTTAAATTAAAGATTTATAAACTATTAATGAACTTTACTGTTTATCTTGAATTATAATATAGGTTTTGCGTTAATAAGAAACCAATATAGAAATATTAATATATTTTTAAGTAAGATAAGTCAAACTCTGGTTACTTTACTACAATACAAGTATGAGTCTTAATTATAATCTGTATTACATTGTAAGTATACATAGGAGAACCCAGCAATTGTTTTTTCTTAGAATACCAAAAAATATAAGGAGAGTTTTGATAATTATAGAAGTTATTTGGCTTTATTTTTTAGGTCGGAGGCTGAGAGAAGGACCAAAATGAACCAGTTTCACTTTTCAGTGCTTCCACTTTGGAAACTTGGGAATTGGTTACCAACATTACTGAGAGAATGGGAGTGTGTTGATCATAACTGTGGATATGACCAAGTTCTTATCCAGTCAGATGGTACTAAAATCTTCTTTTTTTTCTATGCTGTTCTATTCTATCCATATAAAAACAGTCTGTGTATAGTTTTTGTTCCACAATTTTTTGAATGGATGTATAGGTGGGTTTTTTCCAGAGGAGGTGGCACAAAATGTAATAAAACACATATGGAACAATGTTATTGCTGTATACAAATGTCTCTCTGTTCATTAAAATGGCATTTGTCTGTAAATATAATAACTTTCTTTCAAAATATGGGGGTAAAATGAAATTCTTATAAGCAAATAAAATGGTTCCATATGGGACATTTTTGAAAAATCATTTTGTAAGAGATTTTAAAGTCAATCTTCCTTATCCTTAACTTAGACATGGATAGAATGTAAAATATCCAAACAGGTATCCCTTAGAAGGGACTTAATTAATTTATTATTGATAATATTCTGATGCAGAAGGAATTAGAGAATGTTCAGGATTTAATTTTAAAAAAAAAGGAAACATAAAATTTGGTTTTTGTGCTCTTCCAAATGGACCCCCCCCCCAAAAAAAAAAAAAAAAAAAAAAAAACTAGATAGACCTTGAAACTCCTGAGTTCCCCATTATTGTTAGAAGTAGCAGGACAGAGAAAATATATAGCTACTATATTAGCTAGACTGAAACGTGAAATCTTGATTTATAGGTGGAGGCCCCAATGACACCAAGTTTTATTTAACATACAATTATTATACAATATATGTAAAATCTGTCTGAGCTACTTAAAGTTCAGAGTACAGTACACTGTGGTTTCATTATTTTAATGGGGATCAGATTTTTTTTTTTAATTTTGCTAAATGACAAAAACAATGAAAAAAAGCACTCACGAAAAAAATTATGAAACCATTTACATGTTTTGATTAATTTACATGTACCTAGGTGTGTCACAAGTTTATTGTTTCAAACAGCATTAGATTACCCTACTGTGCTAAAGAGGCTAGATGCTCACTATGATTGGCTACCAAGTCCAGTATCTGCATTTGGAAACAAAACATTGCCACTGATTCTCACAAACTCAAATGGATGTCAGCCTACTAGTAGCGTGAATGGTTCAGTTGCTCTTATAACAACTGGGGGATGTTCATATTTCAAAAAGGTATCCATATGTAAACATATTTGTGCCTCTTGTGCAGTTGTATATGATTATTGTCTCTGTACAGTTTTTATCTTGCAAGCATGCTTTGTGAACTTATTAAAATGAATTTTATTTATATGTAGCTACAGAAAACTTAAAAGTGATGAAAAATACTTTTTGGGGTTTAAGAGTCAAATTTAAATTTGCCAGCCTAGCTAGTACAAATTCAGTACGCAGCTAGGTTAAGGCTGTCCGAAGGCTTAATATGCATTAAATATATACTATTTTATATTGAGCTATGTTTTGATTTCAATTTGTTATTTATGTATACATAAACAGTTAAGTTGTAAAGAAAGTTGAATAAGGTATTACAAAAAAGCATATTTATGATGTCACATGACTGTGTTGATCACGTGATGGACACTTATAAATTTTCTTAAATGTTGCACAAAAATCGCATCGGCACAAGTGAAAAACAAAAGTATTGTGAACGGCTTGTTACATTAACCAATTAAACGTATTCTTGGGTATATATAAAGTGCTGGGGGCAAGTCTGAATTTTATTTCATAAGAAAATATTTCACGAGAAATTCAACTTACCCACATACAAGGGGTCATTTTCCACTCTTTATCGCAATTTATACAAAATAGGATAAAATACATACAATCCCCCAGCAAAATTCAGTTAGAGGACATATTTCTCTAGTAGATTTACACAGAATATATTCAATTAATCCTTATTATTCACTTGTGCCAGTCTAACATATATAAGATTTATAAATTCTAACTCTGTCTACAGACATGTAAGGGGGGCATTTCACATTCTTTGAATACGTACATGTTAGACAAGAAATAGTAATAACGATATTATACTGCAAATATTCACAATCATAAGAGCCTTAAAACAACAATCCAGACACATGAATTAAACATCAACGTAAAAAAAATTCTACATGTGATGTAAAAGGAATGTAAAAGTTATGACACTTTCCCCGTCATGTTAGCTCAAGTATGCAGTGACTTGACGTCATATGCCATTATGACGTCATATCTAGGTAGTTCAGAGAAGTTACTACGGCTGGTACACTGTGACATTCTTCGGACAGCCTTATCCTAGCCGCGTATATTTGACTTTCCACATAGTCTGTGATGTTGCTTTAAGTTACTAAAACTTTCTCTTCTCTATATAATTCATGTTGCTCAACTATGGATTTAACAATTATTTAATCTATTAAATTGAGCTTGACTTTATATTATATCATATTTTAGATGCAAGCGATGCATAATTCAGGAGCTATAGGAGTTTTAGTTATGCAGAATAAAACAGAACCACCACAAGACATGAACTGTCAAGACAGTGAGTGTAGCAGCCCAGTACCAATCCCTGCCAGCATGATTGAAAACTTCAATTTTCCTCCCAAGTCAGTTTAGCTAATTTGTTACAACATTTACACCCATTCATGGCCCTTTTTTTATGAACATAGTATGTATTTTTTTCTGGCTTCATTTTCAGATCTCATCTCAATATTACATTCCAGAACACACCCTCTCCAAACTTCTTTGCCGCCATTGATCCTCAAGGCTTACTACAGGAAGTTGGGTGGTTCCTCTATCCTTCAATGAGTTTCATCAACTGGCAAACACAGTGGTGATTTGTCTTTTTTATTTCATTGATTTTACCAGAGATTCAAATTTATCAGTAAATATATGCCTTAAGGTAGCATCTTTCAACTAACCTGACTTTAAAGACAGGTCAAGGTCACAAATTAATACACATTCCACTCTTACATACCAATAGTAATTAACATAATTATGTCTAAACATACTGACTATTCATTATTCAACCCATACATATCTGTTATGTAAGCAATTTCATTGAATCGGTCTATTAGGTCTGGAGTGGAATACCTTGAGATTTAATTTCACAATTGAAAAACTAATAAAATATGTAAATTATTTTATTTCATTTTATTTTTATTATTTTTTAAAATTTTTATCTATTTTTTATTATTATTATTATTATTTTTTTTTTTTTTGGTATTTTTTCCAGAGAAAATAAAGAATACCGGTATATAGTTTGGGTTGCAAAAAATATTGTAGAGCTTAAAAAGTTATTGTTAATTGATGCATAATATAAATAATTTAAATTAGTAACTGCATAGATAAGAAAGTTATTTCTTTTTGTTCCACATTTAATATCGTATCATATTGTTTTTTCTTAATTCAAAATACTCTCCTTAAAGGTTTCAATACAAAGAAAATTTGACCCGAAGATTACAGAGACCAGCTCAGATCATCCAAGTTTTTAAGGAACAAGTCATGCAGGGACAAGCTGGAGTGGTTGCCAACATTTCTACAGCAGAGTTAACAAGTTAGATTCTGATGATCTTCTTTTTTAACTAGGCCAAGTCTAATTCGAGTGCGCATGGCTTTGTGCAGCTTTTTAATTTTAAGCAGCCATTATATTTGCGACATTACACCTTTCCCAAATATTGTGATTTTGATACAAAATTAACATTATCTCTAACGCCTTTGGGTCTGAAAATGTGCTTTTATGACAATGATTATGGAAAAACACTGAAATGGCTCTGAAGACATCACTGTTTACCGATTTTGTAAGCAATGCATGACGCTGAAGAATGACATGACTCGATTGTATATTCAAGACGTCCCTGGATATTATACTAAAAACTGTTGACAGAACATAAAAAGAAACATACTAGAAATCTAAACATTGCTATTTTTTTTACCAAAATAATTCATCTGCACTGATATATATATATATATATATATATATATATATATATATATATATATATATATATATATATATATATATACTGTAATATGGCAATTTTAGAGGTATTGGGCATTGAAAAAATAAACTTTGTAATAATTCCTAGACCAACCTAGATGGTCAGCTTTTTTGAAATTTCACAATTTGGTTACTTTTTACAATAACTTTCATGTACTTGGCTGAAAAAGAAATCTCTAGGACAGAAATACAAAAATATGGAAAAAATATGATCTGGCGCTTTTCCAACAAATTCCCATAGGGTCCAATGGTAAAATTTGACAACCTTTGAGATGGTCCCCTAAGAAATTGGGACGGTAAACATCTGATTTTTCAATCTTAAAGCAATAAATATAATAGTAAAAATTAATTCAAGAATTATCAAAATCTCTAGGGTAGAAATAATTAGACTCGGCCTTGTTAAATATAAAGGAATCATAATTGTACTTTGAATTTATTTTAAAATTTTAAGTTCTAGCTGTTTAAGTTATCCTGAGACTGGTATTTTGTGGGTTCTGATGATTAATTCTTTCTGGAATCTGTCAGACATAATTAAAAAAAAAATCAGCAAACATAATTAATTGTAGTTGGGGATCAACACACTTTCTTGAATCTCCATATGATAATGAGGATGCCCACTTTTTAACTGCAGACTTTATACATAGTCAGTGAATGTTTGTCTATCATCAGGCATTTGATTTAAAACCTTTTGTACCATGGACCTGGACATATTCTTAATTTTGTTTTGAAACCTTTATAAATTGTGAACTTATGTCACAGAGAATAGAGAGGGAGATGGGAAAGAGTGATCACATATTTTTCTATACAATCTACATGTAATTGTATTATGCTAGTCTAATTTTAGACCCATTCTTACAATGTTAGCTCCAGCTCTCACATGTATATTTTTATCAACCTGATGTTTAAGCAAGGGTAAATAAGTGTAAATAATATATGGAAAGCAGTAAGGTTTGAAAGGATGAAAAACAGAATATTTTATTGGTATCAGAGTCTAAAATCATTGACAAGATTCTGAAGGCAACAAAACAAGTAATCTCCCTTGTAGAGTTGTCTTTCGTTCCTCTCTCAGACACCTCTGCAATGGGCTCACGTCAAGATTTTTGACTTTAAGTAAAAAACATGTTATTCCAAAAAAAATTTCAAATTAAAATAATAGTTCTATAGATCTACACTGTACTTAGTAAACATCTACCTCAAAGGACAAAATTAGTGCAGGCATTTAATCATTATGAAATAAAACAAATGCATTATTTTTCGTGCTTATCACCGTGATATATGTGAGCCAGCAACAGAGGTGAATATATGAGCCGAGGGTAGAGAGTGCAAAACAAGCTGTTATCAACAACTACTGAAACGAATGCAAATAAATTTGTATTACATGAGGGGTTTTTTTCAATATTTTTAGTAATTAATAATTACATGTATGTGTGTAAGGACAATAAGCATAAACTAAAGATAGATTTTCAAAATATGCAAGAAAATTACACTGTATTTTAGGAAGTGAAAAAACCTTTGATAGTTCAATCAGATAGTGGGATTGATGTCTTGATTACTTGGCTTGGAGATTCAGAACTATAGCATGATACCAGCAGATATTTAATTGTTCCTTGTACAATTTATTTCAATATCATTAGCCTGTTTACTGATTTCTGAGTGAATGACATTGAGATTCCTATTTTCAGACTATCAGGGATTAGAACTGGACATGTCTCTTTCTTGTCCTGGTGATAAGGACACAACATGTGGTCACTGGGATCATGGGATCAGCCTCTTTGTTTGCTGTAATCCTAAATCCCCTCTTTGTGGAATGGAGATAGGAAGATGGATTAGTCCTTTCAGAAGGTTGGTTAAATTCTCCTCCCAATTTCCAGCAAATTTTTCATAGATGGAACTGGTCATCATTGCAAATCACAGGTTTTTGTGTCCATTCTCTTTCAACAAACCCAGTTTGCAGAAAGAGAATGGGCACAAAAACCTATGGCTTGCAACGATGGTAACTGATGGCAGTCAGAGAATCTGGACTCCCTTCATGAAATTAAAGAATCTGACCTGTCTCCTTGTGGTGGGTTGGATTTAAGAGGTCATAATGGAAATGCTTTAGTTTAAGTGTTTAAACTAGGGATGTCAATTTTATTCGGACAGCTTAGTCGAATAGTCGGAGGCTTTAGTCGAACGATAGTCGAATATTCGTTGAAATTTAAATTAATGTTTCATGTCATTTTACTATTTGTCTTTTATAGACTAGTTGTACAATATTTATACTATGCTATCAACATTATACAACGAATCTCTGAATCGTAAACATTTATGTTGTACAATAAATACATCTACATGCATCCACTGTATTTGATTTCAAATATAATATTTACTTCACATTTTATCTAAATGCAGAATATCAAACACTGGCATTTGTCCTTTTTTTTTTTCATAAGGCTGGTACATTTACACGTTACTTGAAGTCATTTGTACATGTTTTGTTAGTGATCTATAGCTATGACTGGTAAACAATTAAAGCGTGTCTCTTATAAAAACAGAGAGAGCTTGCGATAACTTTTAATTATGAGATTTTGTGCAAACAATCAATACAATCTTAAAATGACTGTATGATATTAATATCAGAAAGAAACACCATTTAATTACGCTAACTGTCCTCCAGTTAACATGTATTTACAATTTTGTAAAAGCTGTTTAATTATTCTTTATGAATAGTTGCATTACGTCAAATCTTGTGGAATTGCAGGTTGAAACTTTATTATTTAAATCAAAACCAAACAATTCTTGAACGCCCTCTCCATTTACAACAAGAGGTAGACATTCCTTGATAATCATGTTTGTGTTAGCAACATTTTCCTTTCCGGCTCTGCTTTTTTGTCATTTTTGCAGCGAAGTTACTAGGAAAGTTTTACTTTTAAGACTATATGTTTGACGGATTCGGCATATGATACATAATATTTGATGTTCCACTGCAGAATACAAGTTCAGTTTCACAGAAACTTGATAACTTGCTTTTCACTGTTTTTCCATCCTAACATCATATAAAGTATGCCAAAAACTGTAGATTTTGGAGGCATGTTTGTCGAACATAAATCGACATATACATAATTTCCTTTGAACAGTTAAACCTTATCCCGAGTTTTACTTACGAGAACATTGATCTGTAAATAAATGAAATGGGCGGATCCAAGTTCATTACCTTGAATTTAAAACTACTATTAGCTAACACATTTTTAACGAATAACCGACTAAAGAAATTTTAGTCGATAGTCGGTATGATCGAACGATAGTCGAGTACTCGAATATTCGTTGACATCCCTAGTTTAAACAAAAGATTACAAAGAAGATGACAAATTTTGTTTCATGCATTCTTTAGGGATGGATTTGAATCATTGGTGTATTATAATAACTATGAACTTAGAGCAGAGAGTTCTCATAACTTTGGCATCTCCATAATCATGGGCCCTCAGCAGGCAATCATAAATAACAATATATGGAAAGTTTAAGAGATTTTGCCTTTTTGTGGAGATGCTTTTGTACAAGTGCTCAGATGGACAGACCCGTGTGCTAAAACATTTTAGAACTTTTAAGATGAATAAACACAAAATAATATGTTTGAGTGATCACATAATCTTTAAATCATGAATTTAAAGGAAAATGTTTAGAAATCACAATTAAGTAAATTGTGAGTGCAGAGTAGTTTCTGGCATGTTATAAAGACCTATTGTGACTAATTCTTATGTGATAGTTTTCATTTATTTCCATCAATAATGTACATACAAAGAATGAGAATGTTAGGAAAGATTTTTCAGTTTCTAAAATTGCAACCCCAAATTTCTTGCTCTGAAGTTTCACAGGTATTCCCCTCCGTATCCTCAGGATGTCATTAAACTATATTGTAGGGTACTGAAGAACACTTATTACATGTTTTCAATAGTTCAATTAAATATTGATATCTTAAACATGGAGGGGCTGTTAAAATACTGAGATAAATGAGAGTTTGGGGTACGTGTATTGAATTCTTAAAGCTGCCAGATCACTTTTACATATCCAATGTACATGTACATTGAATTTGACATATAAAAGGAAAAATAGTATAGTCTATTCAGGGCCATATATATGCCCCTTGTCTATGACAGTAATGCTCTAATTTTCATATCTCTATGCAACAACTTATGTAGAGTAGATTAAATTTATTCATGTTCATATTTATTTGTCAGAGAGAGAGAAAGAGAGAGAGAGCAGTAAGGTTTAGATCTCATGAGGAAAACTAAGTTATAATTAAAGTCAATTGCAATTTGCCAAAACTGACATTTCTAAATGAAAACGATGTAAGAGATATGCAGAACACAATTTACTAAAGTAGAAATGGCTAAATAACTTGAGATTTAAAGAGTTTTCATCAACCAGAAGTATTGTTCTCAAGCAAGTTTCACCTATTATCATCAGAACAAAGTCATGTATGGTCAATCACGAAACATTTTCAGTAAGGGTAAATATTCATGAAACTGGTGTATTCCATTATGCTCAAGTCAAGCATATTATCTTGTAGTACTCATACATACTGGGAGAAATGATAAGTTGCTGAAGAAAGATGTTTTTAAAATGTAGTAACCATCTCTCTCTCTCTCTCTCTCATGTTCACATTATCAAAATCTGCAAAATTATTAATGAAGTTTATCTACAGTTCTGTTATGATAATTAATAACATAAATATGAAGACAGTCTGCTCATTGATTCTGTCTTTATTGAGATACAATTACATCAGAAAGATAAAATGAGCTTTTTCAATATAGTTACTTTTATACATGTATTTTCTTCTGAAGTGTTATGATTAAGTTTTCACATTTTCTTTCATTTGATTATCTGTTAGTAAAGCAGAGTTCCAGAAAATCCAGAGTATCTATCTGAAAATATTTCGGTGTTTCCAATGCCATCACTGTCGACTTCGACATGGTCACCTCACTTCAGTTTTACTATCACAGTTCTGCCTGCTAAACCCCAGTGTTTGTTTTCATCAACAGTCCTATATGTTCTTGCTACAATTTGTTTGTTTAATTTAATGACAAACCTAGAAAATCCATTTGTGAGAGTATCAATAACAAACATGTATGTTCCCGCTTTTGGACAAACAAATACCCCTGTTCTGTCATCATATCCATTGCCATCGTTTGTCAGAATTCCATTATACCTAACTGTCTGTCCTTGTCCAACAATGAATTTACTGGTCCTAACATAAACAGAGAAACTGACACCTCTAGTTGGTTGTGAGTAACCTACAAATATAATTTTACAATATAAAAAATCTTAATCTTTACAAAACATCCATTTATTGAAAATAAGAATAAATATATACATTTCCAAATGTTTTCCGGCAAGATTCTTTGCATATTAGAAAAAGTTCATATTCTCATGAACTACCATGGGATGAGTAAGAATATTTCCATTGTGATGTGATTGAAGTAAAAAAAAATTAGTGCTAACTTTTTTTTCCAAAAGTGATCGTTGAATGACAAAAATATGTGTCAAGTCATCAGAAAAATAATGTAAATATAAGATATGAATTTAATTTTTGAGAAATCATGAGGTACATGAATTACAATGCTTCATGCCTGCATATTTATCATGAAGCAATAATGCACTTCATGAAATATGCCGGCCTGAAGCGTCGTAGTTCATGTCATCATGAATTCTCAAAAATTAAATTCATCTCTTAACTAAATGCAATGCCTTTTGCTGGAGCAACAAGAATGTCATCTGATGAATGGCAGAAATTATGTCTCAGCTTATCATGTACAAAGTATTTTTTATTATCCTTGAAGATTTCAGAGAAAAAGCTTCATTTTCCTGTTCGATCTGAAAACACTTGTGCTTGAAACTGGAAGTAACAATGGCCAGGAAAAAACCTGAATATTTTTTTTTTCAGTTAGGCTTTATTTTTCAACTACTTCCAGTTTGCAACAAAAAACATTTGTGGAAAGTTTTCATAACAAATTTTTAATAGTTACACAATTACTACATGTATGTTTTTTTTTCCAAAAAAAAAAAATGTTTTAAAGTTTAAAAAATTATGATTTCTAGAATTCACTTCCAGTGATGACTGGTAGTACCAAACTTGAAAACAAATAAGGAAATATATAAGCTATTGTGCTGATCAGCTTGAATTCATTTGACCAAACCTTATTTTCCTTGATTTTGCAAAATAAATACTGTAAAAGTGTAATACAAGTACATTGCAAGAGGTTTAGTTTCACTGTGTTTAAGATCAAAGAATTTTCCACATTGTTTCATTATGTTTATGATCAAAGAATTTTCTGCAAACACATTAAGCTATCTTGAATTCTTTTGGCATATCATAGTAGCATTCATGTATCAAAATATGTGCCATACACTCTTATTCCTGTTTTTCTATTCCTTAGTAGTAAAATAGTAATCATAAGAAACCCAAGTTTTTTAACAATGGCTGTTTAAAGTTAGTCACTGGGTATGTGTATTATAAATAATTTACGATAACTTTCTTTGTTTTTAACACTAATATTTAATGAGGAGAAATTCAGAGACTGTGAAATTAATTAAAACCATACATGCACCATGAAATGTACCAACATGGAAATTGCGAAATATTAAGCATGTGGAATTTAAGACATTTACAGTAAAGCAGCTGGTGTGGAATGCATGTCCAATAATATGATTCAAATTCATATAAATTTTTCTGATTAAAGCTCTGAAAAATTCTTAATTGAATTTTTATAAAAATATACCTGAGTTTGATAGTTTGACCAGTTCCTTTAGTGCTGTAGAGTCCAGTGTAACTGTAGCCTTAGCATTGCTGTAGATCAAGGACTTTATGGAGTCTAGTGTTGTCTGTTTGTCAGACAGTGTCCCACCTGACACAGGGTGATGATTGCTGACAAACTGCAATATCAACATCACTACTTGAAAATATGTCACCATTTTTAGTTGTGCAAAAAGGTAGCTGAAGACAACAAGCAAAACATCAGAGAATATTTATACAAGTGAAGCTTGCACCTGTTACAGTTAAAGCTCATGGAATAACTTCATCAAAATATCAAATAACACAAATACTCAATATGTAGGGAATTAATTATCTTGCTTTATATATATATATATATATATATATATATATATATATATATATATATATATATATATATATATATATATATATATATATATATACTTTATTTTTCAGGAGAATTGGTCGCTGGCTAACTGACATTTCTCCATTGTTACCCGTGATTCAGAACAACCAATCAGCTATCTGTAAATTCACAATGAAAACAGCACCCTGGGCAATGCCATGGATACCTTCTCTGAACCTTAGACTTTATAAAAGAAATGGTAAAAAAAATTTTGAAAATGTTTCTCTTTTTAGAGATTTATATGAGTGACTCAACTGTGCCATAAATTACATTTATCTCTTATAATAGTAAAATATTGTTATAATAGCTAGTACATACATCAACATATCCTTTAAGGGTTAGGCATCAAACTGTGTGTTTGATATGGTAAATCACTGTGTTGTTCCATTACCTTCACCTCCCATCAACTCTTTAATGAAAGTATAACTTAAGTTTTATTCAGTTTACAACCTTTACCATATAAGTGTAGGTTGGTTATGATAGACATATATTGGTCTTTGAGTTTCTATTCATAGATCAAGAATAAGACAGCAGATTATTGATATGACTATCAACATCAATACTTTCATGTTAGACAAGAATCTTTGTAAGAAGATAAAAAGAATTGACAAAATTTGAGGTCACTTTATTGAAGGTCAGGATTGATTATGTACTACATCAAGACTGATATCTTCCAAAATTCTATAGATGTAGTCCAAGCATAGCTACTTCTATAGATATTGGAGTCACTTTGTCAGAAGGCAGGGCAAAAGGTCAAAGTCACTGATATTAACATATGGTGGGACCTGCTTGTTTTTGTCATTTTTCTGGTTCAAATCGTATTTTACTCTATATATGACAAAAAGATTAAAATTTTAAATAATTATTAGCAATAACACTTATTTTTCAGACAGCATTTCTCCTTCAGAAACTTTTGTGCTCTACCAGCCAGGTGCAACATTTGACATACATTATAATTCTCATTTCAAACCATACAGCTTCACTCCTCCAATAGATGTCAAAAAGGCAAGTCATTTGTGAAATTCTAAGTTGATTTACAGTATAATAGCATTAATATACCCATAATTGTTATTTCATATCTGTTTTACTTGTTGAAAAGATGTGACTTTGCAAGTTTTCAAAACTTAGGGTATTATCTGTTCACTATGTATTCGTTTAATAGAAGAGAAAATATTACAAACTTTAAACTAAGATATTAGAAGAATATCTACATATGCACTGAAATTATTATGATTTGGTCTAAAAGAAAATATTAATATACTCCATAATCAGAAATTAATGAATCAGGGAAATTCTCAATCTCTATTAAGAATTATACCCCTTTATAGACACACCTTGAATGTTATATCCTGAAAGAAATCTATAGTTTTTATGCAAAGTGTTCACCTTCATCCCCCATCCACTCATCCTGTACCTACTCCCTTTAAAATGAATTAACTTTTTGCAAAGTTTGAGGTGGAGATGTTATGCTTACTTGCTTTCTTTTTTATGTTTCTCATCCTAGAAATCACCCCCCCCCCCCATCAGCACTTTGTGCCTCTTCTGAAACTTTCATCACTGGGTGTACCCATCCCTTGAATTTGAAACACAAGTTTTCTTTAGGCAAACATTACATATGAAGCACAGACAGACTGTACAGACTCTGAACAATACATGTCATTTATTTATAAAATGAGTCCGTCTTGGGGATTGAGGACTATCCCCCCCCCCCCCCCCAACTTCTGAAAAGAATTACTTCTGACTCTTCAGGATAAACATTTCTGGACAAAGTATCCTTAGCATTACTAATAGTTCTGCTCTGATTATTCAAGACAAACACTGTCCATTGAGGTTACTCTCATACTGACCATTATTGGTTAGAATAAATCAAACATTTAGTTCATCAATAGCTAGATCCCCTTCTGAATTTGTATTTTCTTAGAAGTTTGTAGCACTCATTTAAGGTCAAATCTCAAATACCACTAGATTATCAATAAACTTGTGACCCTTGCAATGGTTTCAGATGGTTTAAAAGTTTAAATATGAATTGGATCCAAGTATTAGAGCTTGGAATCACTTTAACAAATTGACATAACCAGTGTTTTTATCATACTGACATTGGAGATACTGAAGTTGTAAGTGTAATTTGTTTTACTCTACTCCTTTCTACTTGTAGGTTGTGATATTTGCCGTGATAACTGGTCATGGAAGTGATGAAAATGGATGTGGAGAATTCTGTGTTACTTCTCATCATTTTTCTGTCAATGGACATATCAATAATATAACTTTCAGTGAAGCAGGTAAGAAATTTAATTCGGAGGTTTTATTTTTTGGTAGTTAAGATTTTGAACCTCTTTGTATAGAAAGATGTGTAAATGTAAATTTTCATCCCTTAACAGAAAAGCATACAGAGCCTATGAAAATTGGATTGTGTATCAATTCCTTGTGTCATATTTGTCATTTTTGAATTTGTGCAGCATTGGCATTTGAAAACAACGATTTTTAAAAAGAGTGATTAAAATGAAAATCATAGTACACTTGTAGTGCAAGTATTCCAATCACCAATGTAACCCTACACTAATTTTCATACTGTAAACCTTCTAATGAAAACTACAATTAATTTATGTATATTTACTTCACCCAACAGTCTTATTTAATCTTCTTTATATAATGTAGGAACTCCTCTTGGGTGTGCTAACCAAGTTTTAAATGGTGTAGAACCCAATGAACATGGTACCTGGTTATATGGCAGAAATGGTTGGTGTGATGGAAGAAACGTGTTTCCATGGGTTATTGACATTACTCAACAAGTTTCTCTTGGCAAAAACAATCAAATTACCTATTTTGGGTGGTTCAATGGAACAGTTCCAAATCCCAAGCAAAATCCAGGAATGATATCAATATATTCCTATCTTGTTTATTATAGATCATGATTGTAAAGTGAAAGTAATTTAAATGTATAATATTTGTCATCAGTTTTTGTGTGTTACACATTTTGTGACTTGTTTCACTTGTAGAGTTTTGAAGTACAGAACACAAAGACAGAAAACAAGTATATGTATATGTTTCAAGAATCCTTAGTCTTGTAATGTCAGACTAACCTACAATTTTTCTCAAACATAGAAAGGTGGGAAGAGGGTATCACCATTCTCTTTGGTCTTTCCATCTCTTCACCTGTCTCTTTATGTCACATTTATAAAGCAGAGACTTAAAAATGTACTTAACACCAAGCATACTCATGCCTGTAGGATGTATACATATATATATATATATATATATATATATATATATATATATATATATATATATATATATATATATATATATATATATATATATATATACTTTATTGGAACCACTGTTATTTCATGAAGTTCAATCTGAAAATGAAATGGTTCAAAAGTTATCTGTGTATTGAGAATTTTAATGTGCAACTGCCAAAACTCATGTATTCATTAAAATATATTAACAATGATCTATTTTTTTAAGGCATTCATACGGTATACATCAAGCATCCACTGAACATCATGCGCATTGCAACATCTAACAGGTTTGTAGGGCAAACCAGCCATAGTCTCCCACACAGCCACTGAGGTAGTTTATTATGGGCCAAAATCTATAGGCTGTGATAAATAAAACATACAATTACACCTGCATGTACGTCTGTTGGGTATTTATATTGCATGGAATGTAGAATTTTTGAGGTATTTTAAAAATGGCAAAGGTATTATTGAAGGTGTTACAATGTAATTGCCTGCTTAATTGGTGTTTTCTGATATGTTATATTCTAAAGATGTTCAAAATGCTTTTGACTGACTCTGCATAATCCTGCTAACATGCCAGCTAGAGGTCAATAGGCAACAAAGCTTACCTGCATAATAGCTACATTCACAATGTACATATATGTGTGAGATGGAATTGTTTTTTTTCAAATAATAAAGAAAATAATTCATCTAAGACAGGTATACTAATTTTGTATAATGAAAACATTTTGTATGTGTATGTGTATTGGTTCAATCCAAGTCTGATTTTTCAATTTGTTCAAATTTTGATCCATACTAGAAAAGAAGCTGTCATATATTAAGTTATTTCATTCCTGACCCCACCGTTCATGGTAGCTCAGTCGGTAGAGCACTTGCTTGTTGATCGGGAGGTTGTGAGTTCGAATCTCGGCCTCGACTGACCTAAGTCGATAAAAAATGGGTAGCAACTGTTCCTTCGTCATGCGTTCAGCACTTTGAAGTGAAAGTTGTGGGTCCTTTGGATGAGACCTTAAAAACCGAGACCCCTTGTCACGACAGACGTTGGCATGATAAAGATCCCTCACTGCTCAATGGCCTTGAGTGCCGAGTAAAGGTCAAAATTTGAAGCCCTTCACCGGTATGGTGACGTCTCTATATGAGTGAAAAATTCTCGAATGGGACGTAAAACAACATATAATCAATCAATCAATCATTCCTGACCACGTTGATAGATAAAATGATATGAGATTAAATTGATATTTACATTTTCTTTTTGCAAAAAATAGACTTTGCAGTCCAGATTTCATTCCAATGACTGCATAATTATATTTTTGTCTGTCTTCAGACACTCCTAGGGCAAAAATGGGCCAGTATAGTGGACAATCTATGTTTTACATATGTTAGTTGGTTTTAAAGCTTTTGTTCCTTAGAGTATTCTTACTCATGTTGGAACGTCACTAATTGGTGGAGGAGGACTGCAAGTTTAGGTCTGCACTTATGGTCATTGAGTAGCAAGCGATCTTGTTCATGCCAACACTTTTACAAAGGCTTTCGAGGCAAAACTGTATTTTGTCTTATATAACAACTCTTAAATTTTCATATCTTATTTAAGCATCCCTATAATGTGTATGTGAATAACTGCATAAGTCGTTCAAATTTCGTTCATTTTCACAGAGAGAACAGTATTCCTAATTTAAAATTGTTATTTGGTGACCCAGAATTCTTGAGTTTCAAAGCAATGATTGAAATTAGCACCTTTCAGAAAAATAACTATAAATTAAAAAACGAACACGTTAACTGCAATAAAAAAGCTTTGTCTCAAGTAGGTGACACCTAATAATAATGTGTGTATTCAAGTCTTTCAATAATACATGTTTACGAAAACTAAAAATTCTGTTTACAACGAAAGTCATTTTCAATCTACAGCAACTTTATTTTAAAGTTGCATCACATAAAAAAAATAAAAATTATGGATTCAATCTCTTTTTCATTTTCTACAATAACCCATTCTTAGTTTGTAAATCAGTTTGTTGTTTTTATATTTTTTATCATTTACAGCAAGTTTTTCATATTTTCAAGACTTCGAAACATTGATATTTGCAATGTGTAATATATATTCCGTACATTGTATATAAAAATATGTGTTGATTAAGAGATGAAAAATATTCTCTGAATTGACTGTAAAATGTCTAATAAGTTGCAATTTGATAGACACACTGTTTTGAACATCAAATAGTATCAAACATTTTTTTTCAATTTATTTTTTGGTAAAGATAGATGAAGATCATTGATAGTTATAAAACAGTTTTGTTGCACTCGTGGCTGCAGTAAAATTAAAAATTAAAACCACAGAACACAAAAATTCATAAAGTGTTGGCAACGTCAAGTGGTTACGATATTGTGCAATATTTATTGTGAAATATAAAGATAACAAACAGTATTCAAGCTCAAAGTCCATTTAGACAATACAAATCGGGAGCAGAACAAACAATTAAGGACATCCAAAAACATCAGAGGTGGGATCAGGTGCCATTGAGGAGTGAGCATCCCCTGCCGACCGGTCACCCACCGTTTGTTGTTCGTCGTGATCGGGAAAACGGAAATTTAGTGTGTAAATAATGGCCTAACAATTAGTATGAAAACGTCAGTCAGCATTTTGACTTAAGGTTGTGTTTGCTAACAAGGTCATTGTGTCTACCATAAAACTTCCGAAAAGATGACTTCAAACGAGACTGTTGATATCCTTGATTCATCAACTTGTTTGTCAATAGCTTTTCTCGTTTTAGAAATTGTTCATACGTAGAACATGCACTTGCGTAACGATTCAACTGCATGGGAAACAAAAACCTCATATGCTGGTGATAAGGGTATATTGCTACATAAGTAAGGGAAGTTGATGATTGAACAATTGAAGTCATCACGTTTATCATAAAGCTTTGTTGTTAAGTTACCATTAAAATCTTTTTCTAGTAAAATATCCAAATATGAAACAGATGAGTCAGACTCTGTAGTATCTTTTATTTCAAGCTAACTGGGATATATCGAGTCGACATCTGAATAGGGATGGCAACGAATATTCGAACATTCGAATATTCATTCGATGAGTTGATATTCGAATATGAATTTAAGATTCGAATATTCGGTGTTTTTCAGATTTCATAAAAAGAAGTACTGTGATTGATAAATTTTGGAATTATCCCTATTTAATTTACTAGCGATCAATTTCGATCGATTGATTTCTTTCACTCCTTTCTTATCTTATAGATCTACAAAATTACATGTATTTTGTTTTGAGTAAGGTGTTAATGAATTGTACAGTAATGTTTTGTGTATAATACAAAACGTACTTTCATAGTTTTCATAAGTTAAATACGATCGGATCTAGAATAGAGGACAACAAAATGAAAACCTTCCTCGAATGTCTAAAAAGTGAAGAGTATACATACTTATCTAAACACATTTAATTGATCATTAAATGAGTGTCCGATATAGAATTAGTCTGTAATTAATATTGTAAAGGGCTCAATTTCAGAATAAATGTGTAAATTACTTGATTATCTCGGGTTGTACAAAATTCTGAGTTTTATATTCATTATCGGGAAATTAGTTAATTACCTACCAAAATTGTCTATGGCAATATTTGATTATATTTTCAAAAAATTGTATCAAAGATTATAATCATATCTCTTATTAGGCAGATAATTGTAATTTATTACACGTATTGAAATCTGAACATTATATCGTTACGACTATCTTGCCTTTGGTAAGACGACTGGTCCCTCAGTTGGAGCTACTATATATACACGCTTCATTTGTTAAAATTATACTTTTCTACATTTAAATCAATTATTTATTTCAAACATTGACAAATATCAAATGGAATTTTATTGTACACCTACAAAAGTCTTCATACAATTTTACTTCCAATATAAGTAAACCTACGCTAAACCTTTCATGAAAGTAGGATGATGTATATTTAAAATAAAACATATTTTATTTATTTTATCGAATATTCGAATATATTCAAATACTTTCATTGAAAATTCGAATATGAATTATTGACAAAATTGACATCCCTACATATGAATGAAAGTAACTACATGTGTATTGTTAATTGATAATACGTCGTCGATATATTTATCTCTAAAGGTCGAGTTGAACGCCAGAGCAAGTGTTTCTTCTCATGTAAATTCTGCTTCATATGAATACAAAAATAGGTTTGCTAACAAGGGGGCGCAATTGTAACCCATGGGAGTCCAATACTTCATAATTAAAACTCACTAAGTATTTAAACTTGGCTTTATATCTTGAATCATTCCCTATTTATGTCAAAAACTAGCTAAAACATATATTTAGAATATAAAATATATTTTAAAGTTTATTTTCCATCACAGGACAAACACTGTAAGCAACCAATGTCAACCAGAAATATTCTACTGATCAATTTTTCTTTATATTTATTCATAGTTGATCAGAAATAATTCTAACGAACTAGTATTTGTTGCACTCCTGACCAAGAGCATGGAGTCTTTAAAGGAGAATTGTGAAACGAAAATTAAATCAGAACTTGTTTCAGTGAATTTGAGGTGGGATTACTTGAATTTCATAACAATTTTTCAGTGTGTTTATTATTTTTTTTTACATTCACAAAAAAATCAAAGAAAAGATAAAACGCATCTGAATTGATAAAATTGAAAAAGAAAAGTGTTTTGATAATAAAACTGTAAATAATTAGTACTAAATTATTCAAATAGATCACTATTAATTTAAAAAAAATGTATTTATTAGCATGAATAATAGTCTTTTCATCGTATAACTTGAATTTTTTTTTTTTTTAAAAATGTGTTGCAATCCTGACCATAAAAATTTAGATCTGAAACACACACAGACCATCCTGAAATTGATAAATCTTTTTGGTAAAATGTTCTTTGTGTTTTTATTTTACAAAATAAAAATCAGAAAATCATAAACTGATAATTTTTTTCATGCTGGGGAGCAAAACATTATATGTTGCCCTCCTGATATTATTGGGTATACAAAGATGTTTGACTCTCATTACTGCTGCTTGTGATTAAATTTCTTTAACATTTTTATGTTTTATATTGCACGTCAGTTATTGTTTTACACTTTGAAAATTCTTTTTTGACTTAATTATCTTTCAGCTTTTTAAAATCAATGTTTTTTTGGTAACACTACATTTTTCCTGTTGTATTTCTGACATGGTATAATTTTTTTTCAAAATCAACAATGACCAAAATTGGTCAAACAAAAATTGCTACAGGCTATATTTAAAGCCCAATACTTTGAAAATTATCAGGAAAGTCTTTAATTCCAACATTAACTATTATTATTTATATCACAGATCTTTTAAAAATATTGAATTTTCAAAATATCACAAAAAGGTGTTACAATCCTGACATTTTTAATATCATTTTTGGGTATAACTTTTTTGTTAAGTTATATATCAATGAGATATTTGGCAGGTATTTAGACATTATTTAAAGACATATACTGAGTCATAGAAATTTATTTCCATTGCCTGTATTTTTAGTGCAGGTTGAAAAATATGTGTTTGGTCATTTTTTTTAATTCACCCATATATATGTTCCAGCCACTAAATACACGAATAAACCTGTTCTATCATCATATCAGTTACCTTAGTTTGTCAGTATTCCTTCATGGTCTGTTCTTTTCCAACAGTAGGTATTTTGGCCCCAACATAAAAAGACAAACAGACTCCTCTAAGTGGTTTTGATGAACCTCACAGTTATGTTGTTTACCAGATAAAAAATCCTCATCTTGTATAAAGCAATAATGAAAATACAAAATAAATTTATTTGTAGTTGACCATTTACAGAAAGAAGAATGTAGTGCTTGTTTCTCCATTCTTCTATCTGTTTATCCATTCTATGCTTTTTGAGTTTAGCTCAACTAAAAAATATAAATATAATCAAAATATTATTATTAACTTCATAAATGCAGATTTGTTTTTGGAAGAACAATTCTACCCTGTCAAAGGTCTTTGAACTTTAGGACCCTGGTCTAAGTTTATTGATATTGTATTTAGCTCAGTTTCAGAAATACTATTACCCAATTTCATTCACAGTTGCATTCTAGTAAGAATAATTAAGCTGTGTTAAACTGTATTTTTAGACCTTATTCATCTTTTCAACATTCAGCTTATTCTACTCTTGTGTTAACTAATTTAATTAACTATTCTAACGCATTCCCTTATACTTTATTGAAAATATGCCTCTTGGTAAGAGGATTTTATTATGATTACTTTGATCTTACATTTCTTTGTTTCGTTTTAGCGTTTTTCCTGATTACTGTTTGTTGATTCAACTTTTTTTAAATGCAGCTACAATGAACAATTCAAAATTGCCCAAGTTCATTAGCCTTGACCATTTGAGATCTTCACCTTGCATTTCCTTTTCAGTGACTATATAGTTAATGAATATCTATTTACTTAAATTTATACTAAAAAAAAAACATCTTGCTGAGAGCAATTTGATCATTCTCAAATGTTGTGACCTTAATCTTTCCGATAAACATACATGTATCCCCTGTTTCTTGATTATGTAAGACAAATATCTTAGTCAGAAAATAAATGTTCTGATGACATGTTTTTACTTTACTTTTTGGGATTTAAGTTATTAATTGAATATTTAGAAAATATATCTGAGGTTGACAGTATGACTTAAGTGCCTTAAGTGCTGAAGAGTCCAGTGTAACTGTAGCCTTGGCATTGCTGTAGATCAAGGAAGTTTTGTCTGTGTGTCAGACAGTGTCCCTCCTGACACACAGTGATAATTATTCAAAAAATATAGTATCAACATCAATACTTCAAGATATGTCACCATAACTAATATACATGTAACATGAATATAGCTAGCGAATTTTGTCTTTACAGAGAAACGATTCAATCAGAATTTTTTCTATTATTTATTGTGTAATTTAATCATTTCTTTTGAATTATTATGACTGTATAAAGTCTTTCTTTTCTTTTCCATGATTTTTTTTTTGGTGTTAGTAAAGCAATGTTCCTGTAAATCCTGAGTATCCACCGTGACTTATTGCAGTACTTTGACCTACATTATCTACTTTCACATGATCACCTCGATTCAGTTTTACTATGACAGTTCTGCTTATTTGACCCCAAATAGAACTGTTATGAAGTCTCATATGTACATTTGCTACATATGTCCTGTTTACTTTTATGGCAAGCCAAGTATCTGCTTGGCAGAGAGTATCAACAACAAACATATATGTTCCCGTCACTGGACACACGAATACCCCTGTTCTGTCATCATATCCATTTCCATCGTTTGTCATGATTTCATCATATTTAATGGTCTGTCCTTTTCCAACTGTAAGAGCTGTGGCCCTAACATAAACAGAGAAACTGACTCCCCTCGTTGGTTTAGATGAACCTACAAATTTAAATACAAGAAAAATCTTATAATGGATGTTTATAAATCAATTAGGAGAATAAAAAATTGACATGCATTTTGTTTTAACTATTCTTATGCTTAATGCACTGCCAGATGTTTAGAGTCTGGAATACAGTGCTTGTCATGTCCATGATTAAAAAGAAAATAAATGCTTGATGTAAGTGACCTTAACATATTTATGATATTAATCTTGCATTTATTTTCAGTGACTTAGTGTTCTATATTCTCTAAATAATGGATCTATTTATTTAATTCTTACTCAGTAACATCTTACTGAGAGCAATTCAATCATGACAAGATTTTATAACCCTGAACTTCTCTATGAACTAAGCTAATGTTTTTAAATTTTGCAAGACAAATACAGGAGAATGCATGTTTCATCATCATTTTCGGGTAATTTTAATTTTTATTATCAAAGCCCTTATGACATATATTTGATTTTTAATAAATGTACCTGATGTTGAGAGTTTGACCAGTTCCTTTAGTGCTGTTGAGTCCAGTGTAACTGTAGCCTTGGCATTGCTGTAGATCAAAGATTTTATGGAATCAAGGTTTGTCCGTGTGTCAGACAGTGTCCCTCCTGATACATGATTGTAAAGATTATTAACAAACTGCATTGTTAACATCACTACTCGAATATATGTAACCATTTCTTCGTTTTGCAAAAAGGAAACTGAAATAAACAAGCAAAACATCACGGATTATTTATACAAGTGAAGCATGCACCTGTTACAGTTAAAACTCATGGAATAACTTCATCAAAATATCAAATAACACAAATAATCAATCTGTAGGTAATAGTAGGTAATCTTTTGGTGTTATTTTGCAATGTTTGTATACACTTACTTTATTTTTTCAGGAGAATTGGTCGCTGGCTTACTGACATTTCTCCCCTATCACACATGATTCAGAACAACCAATCAACTGTCTGTAAATTTACAATGAAGACAGTACCCTGGGCAATGCCATGGATATCTTCTCTAATCCTTAAAGACTTTATAAAACAAATGGTAAATGTTTTATGGAAATTGTTTCTCTTTTTAGAGATTAAATATGAGTGACTGGACTGTACCATAAGAAACATTTAGCTCTTAATAAAATATTGTTACAGTTTTAGTACATTTATTAACATATCCTTTAAGGGTCAGGTATCAAACTGTGTGTGTGTGATATGGTTAATCAATGTGTTCTTCCATTTCCTTCATTTGCCCATCAACTCATTAATGAGAGTTTTATTCACTTTACAACCTTCACTGCATAATTGTAGGATGGTATGATAGATACAGATTGACCTTGGGTTTCCATACATAGATCAAGAATACGACAGCAGATTATTGATAATCATATCGCCATCAATACAATTATGATGATAAAATTTGAGGTCACATAATTAAAGTTCAAGAATTGATTATGTATTACTAGTATATCAAGTTTTATATCCAAAACTCTCAAACTCTAAATTACTTTTTGTATGACACAAAGATTTTAATTTTGAATAGTTTAGCAATACTGTAAACCAACTATTATTCGCGTCAACTTTTATTCGCGATTCATCGGTTTGAAATCAATCCGCAACGATTAATTTTCGCGACTGAGGAAACATTCTCTACAAAAACGAAGCGAAATAAATTGTTCACGGCGATAAATATTCGCGAGTTAGAGTAGGTCGCAAAACTCGCGAATATTTCTCGCAAGCGAATAAAAGTTGGTTTACAGTAACACTTATTTTTCAGACAGAGTTTCTCCTTCCGGAACTTTTGTGCTCAACCAACCAGGTGCAACATAAGACAAATATTGTAATTCTCATTTCAAACCATACAGCTTCACTCCTCCAACAGATGTCAAGAAGGCAAGTCGTTTGTAAATTCTAAGTTAATTATTAGCATTAATTAATATTCGATGATTGTTCACATCCAGTCTTAATTTCATATCTATTATACTGACGATGACACTTACTTGAAAAGATGTGACATTGCAAGTTTTAAAAAATGAGGGTATTATCTGTTCAATATAAAAACAGTTTTACAGAGGAGAAAATGTTTCAAACTTTTAATTATTTTATGGCCTGGACACAGTTGCATTGTTTACATTTTAAAATTTCTGTTTATTCAAAAATAACTTCAGCTTTTGAATTGAACTAACATGAATGTTCTTAGAATTTAATGACAACGACCTTTTTCTTTACATTATGTCAGAGATCTGTGTTTGTAAACAGGGGGCAAGCTCTGTTAATGTTTAACGGGTGTGTTCAATTTGTTTACTCTGCACACATCAATAAGCACGGACTGACAATACTGGTAGTTGGTTTTGCTTTCTCACATTTCTACTCTGAATTTTCTGGATTATAGTTTTATTATTTTTCATTAATACTCAACAAAATTTCTACTTTTCTTAAGTATTAAGGATAAATTTTACTTCGTGAAAGTGCCAGGATACCGGTATTTGTCAATCAAACGCGTCACGAAATTCGTAGTTTGAATAATCTGCAGCTAAAGGAAGTTTCTTAAAACGCTTTTATTATATTTTGGCGTGAATTGCTTTAGCAACATATAAGTCATGATATTTTACTGAAAATTTTAGAAACTATCAACTTCAAATCTGCGTCCAAGCTCCTTTAACAAGAATATTTAAATATCTACTGAATTTATGATTATTTAGTCTAAAAGAGAATATTAATATAAACCACTATCAGAAAAGTATGAATCAGGGAAATTTTTAACCAATCCCTTTAATTTGAAAAAAAAATTCTTAAGGCAAATGGTCACACATGAAGCACAAAAAAAATCATACAGACTCCTACAAAACAAGTTATTTATAAAGTTATTTATAATACCAGTCTGCCTTGGGGGTAGAGTACTCCCCCCCCCCCCCCCCCACCCATTACTTCTGACTCTTCAGGATAAGGAGCCTTAGCATTACTAGTACTTTTAGTCCTGCTCTGGTTATAAAAGACAAAACACTGTCCATTGAGCTTACTCTCATACTGACCATTATTGGTTAGAATAAATCAAACATTTAGTCAATCTAAATCTCCTACAGCTCTTGTATTTTCTTAGATGTGTGTGGCACTCATTTAAGGTCAAATTTTAAATACCACAAGGTTATCAATAAACTTTTGACCCTTGCAATGTTTCCAGATGTTTTAAGGACCTTCTATACACCAGAGGAAAAGATTTTTTGAGGATTTACAAAATTGTAGTGCGTAAAGATGTAAATATTGAGCTTATCTGTTATTTTTTCAACATAGGGTACTTTGCATTTACCCCCAGGAAAAATGTGCAAAGACAATGAAGTATTGATGAATAGAAATCACTATTGTTTACTTTAGTGGGCAAAATACCTGTAAATGAAGTGTTCAATCTATCATCTTGGCCTATTTAAGTTTTATCAATGCTTGATTTGATAACACATTATGTCATAAACTGTACATTTCATTTTATTTTTATCTAGATCAAAGGGCGGATTACTCTTCCTCCATAAAAATATCACAAAACCAAGACTCTTTAATGTGCAGTGTATAGAGGGCTCTTAAAAGTTTAAATTTGAAATGGATGTAAGTTTAAGAGTTTGGACCCACTTTGACATGTCTTTTGTATTTCCACATATTAACAATGGAGATATTTACATTATAATTTAATTCTGGTTGTAACACACTTTTTGATTGGCTGAAAAATTAGTTTATACTGTATAACCTGGGTTGCCTTCGTCACAATGACTTGCGTCAAATCCGTTTGACGTTACATTCAAATTTTGTACAATTTAATGTCATATTTGAGGTGAAATTGTCTTTTTTTCCTACACTGAATGATAGAAAATTAAATTACAATTTCGCGGTTTATAAAGCGTAAACTGTGCCAACCCAGGTTATACCGTATAACTTGGGTAGCTATTAAATTCATTCCTTAAATAACTGTAATTTGTTTTACTTTACTACTTATAGGTTGTGATATTTGCTTTGATAACTGGTCATAGAAGTGATGAGAATGGAGTTGGAGAATTCTGTGTTACTTCCCACCATTTTTCTGTCAATGGACATATCAGTAATAAAACTTTCAGTGAAGCAGGTAAGGAATTTAATTTAAAAGTTTTATTTTTGATAGTTTAGAGCCTTTTTGTATAGAGGGATGTGCCAATAGTAATTTTCATCCCTTAAGGTCAGACGATACGTTCCTCATAATGTCTGTTTTGCAAATCTTCGTAATGTATGAAAAATATTCAAAATTTTAATTACCTTCTGATTTCTTAGCAGGTTTCTTATCGTCTTAAAATAATCGAAACACTAAAAAGTGTGATATTGACAAATAAAGTTTTTCCCAAAAGAATTATATAGGAAACATCACCCTCTGGTATCTTGCACAAATGCCTGGTAAGGTACCTCAATTTTTTGTGAGTAAACATGTCAAAGTAGCAATACTTCAATGACAAAATCTTGGAAAAAATTGTATATCATTGAGGAACGTATCATCTGTCCTTAACAGAAAAGTATTGAGTAAATGAAAATTGGATGGTATATCAATACCTTGTGTCATTTTTGTCTCTTATTAATTTTTGCAGAATAGGCAATAAAAAAAATAAAAATGATTAAGATGAAAACCACTGTATACTAGTCACTGGACTTTTGCGAGGAGCGCTGACTTTTACAAGCGACGCTAGGACAATACATGGAAGCTCTTTTGCGATATAAATTTTAAGCTCAACAGCTAATTAAACAATAAAAGGAGACCATTTCAAAGCACATATTACGTTGTCTAGGAAGGAACGGCAACCACCGTACCCTCAACCCCATCCCTTCCCACATTGACCAAATCTTGCTTAGTTTTAATTCTGGAATGTTTTTTCCTTATTTGATTCCTTCAGAAAATGAGATTGAAAGGAGATACTACTCCTCACGAATAATTAAAGTTATGTAATTCTGCGTCCCATCATCTCTTGCGTTGAATTGCATACCAGTAAATCATGTTTGTGCCCCAAACACCATAACTATAACCACTATTAAGGTTTTCTTATCTTTTATCAATTCCGTACCTCCGTACATAAGGCAGGTTTAAATGTCAAAGTAAGCTGTCAACTGTAAAAGTCATTTTTTACTATTTTTCATCTTATAAAGCTTGTAATCAAAACTACAATTGATTTATGTTTATTAACTTGACCCAGCAGTCTAATTTTATCTTTTTTATTTGATGTAGGAACTCCTCTTGGATGTGCTAAACAAGTTTTAAGTGGTGTAGAACCCAATAAACATGGTACCTGGTTAAATGGCAGAAATGGTTGGTGTGATGGTAGAAATGTGTTTCCATGGGTTATTGACATTACTCAACAAGTTTCTCTAGGCAAAAACAATCAAATTACATACTTTGGCTGGTTCAGCGGGACAAATCCAAATCCCAAACATTATCCAGGAATGATAGCAATTTATTCCTACCTTGTTTATTACAGATCACGACTGTACAGTTGAAGTTACTGTAATGTATGGACATTATGTGATCAATAGCGAATTTTTAAGTTGTCTAGAGAGTGTTTTGAGGTGCAAGACATAAGGACAGGAAATGGGTATATGGACCAAGAGGTCCCCATTTATGTGATGACCAATTTTGAACCTCCTCTAACATACAAAGTTTGGTATCATCATACCCTTTGGTCTTTCCATTTCATTACTTACCTCTTTATCTCACTTTTTTCAAAACGGTGCCTTAAAAGTTTTACAGTGCCTGACACAAAGCATACGGACAACTGTAGGATATGTTCTTTATTGGAAGCAAAGTTGTTTCATTAAGGTCAAGTTGAATATTAATTGGTTCAAAATATTGTAAAACTGGTGTTGTCAGTGAATAATCTCTCTGTACGGAGAATTTTAAACTATTTCTGCCAAAATTATCCATTTAAATAAATCAACACTGATCCTGGTTTCATAAGATTTGAATGTAGATTGAGAAACATGAAAATATTAAACATCTATTTCTTAAATGTTGTATATAAATACATGTACGTTTATTGGGTATTTTTGTGCTAGAAATGTTAAATTTTTGAAAAATTAAATAGCAAAGGTGTTATTGAAAGGTTGATTACATGCTTAATTGAAATTCTCTGATATTATTATAATATCGATTATTATGTCTTAAAGGTGTCCAAATTTCACTCTTGGCCTAAGGTGTGGATTGGAGTTGTACTTTTATTGATAGAGAAAGAAACACAGATGTGACATATATGCTGATTTTGTTTAACGTAAACATTTTGATGGTTCCATCCTTGTTGCTGATCGATTTTTGAATTTGTTCAGATTTGAGTTCACACTAGCAAGTAAGCTGTCTTGTAAGTTATGTCATTCTTGAGACAGTAGATAAAGAAAATTATTTTACAATAACTTTTCTTGACATTTGTATCCCAAATTTATTTTTCACACATTTTTGCCTCTGAGCCATGACGCATAAGGTTAGGATGGGTCTATTATAGTGAATGATTTGTTTTGCAAAGGAGGAAAATGTTTTTTACATGTATTTAGGAAAAAAACATTCATATCTATATGCAAACATTCTTATGTTGTGCAAATTTAATTAATGCATATCTCATCCACATCTAGAGAGAGAGAGAGAACAATGAAACCAACAATGCTTAATTTCCTAAAATTTCTGATTGATCAAATAGATTCAGTGCCTTCAAATGAATTATAAAAAACACGTAATTCAACAATTCAAATATTAAAAAATACTTAACTTTTCAAAACGCTTGACTCTCATTTTGATTTAATTTTTTAATGATTTCTTTGCCTTTTTTAATACTCATTCCATCTAAGAGAATTACGTGTTAAACGAACTACTATCAGACACAATTAGATTTCTTAATTAATTTGTTCATGCGCGAACAGTTGGTGAACAGACGTCTTTTGTCACTCCTAGTTTATATATTTCACAAGTATTTCATGGACAATTATAGAATGTAACTGTAAATAATATTACGTCAGAAGTTAGAATTGGTGCCAGGTTCTCTCTTTTGGTTTGTTTGTCTGTTAGTAAAGCAATGTTCCAGTGAAACCTGAGTATGCATCGCTTTGAATTTGAATGGTTTCACCATTAGCTATAATATTATCTACTTTGACATGGTCACCCCGCTTCAGTTTTACTATGACAGTTCTGCTCGTCTGACCCCAAGGTTTGTTCGGGTAATATCCCCTATATGCCCTTGCTATAATTTGCTTGTTTACTTTTATGGCAAGGCAACTCTCCACAGTGAAAGTATCAACAACAAACATATATGTTCCCGCCACTGGACACACGAATACCCCTGTTCTGTCATCATATCCATTGCCATCATTTGTCAGAATTCCATCATATTTAATAGTGTGTCCTTGACCAACAGTTAGCGTTTTGGCCCCAACATAAACAGAGAAACTGACATTTGGAGTTGGTTTTGAAGAACCTACAAATGCAATATTGCATATTAAAAATATCTTCATGCACAAAACACATTTTTTAATAGTTCAATCCTCACTTTGCAAAAAGTTAATTTAGTTGTGTTCTATTGCAGAGTCAACTCAAGGTTTAAAAGGGAAAAAAAACCAATATTTCTTTATGCTACCAAACAATTTGTACGGTAAATTCAAAGTTTCAAAATATTTCTTTCCATGTATGGTAGTTCAGTTGTGGGGTAATCAAAATACAAGATACAATTCAAACGATGTTTTCATGTAAAAAAACAAAAACAAAGTTATACACCAAAAACTTACAAAAGACGCTGTAAGAAAATTCTATAAGGTTTTCCATAACTTTTGAAAAGTGTGGATTAATCTATCAGGGGAATACAAAAGAGTGTTTAAAATTAATATATTTATATAATATATATAATATAATATATTTATATAATATATTCATATTTAATATATGACCTGTCATAATGTACTGCTTGACTGCTGTATTGCCTGATTATCCTTTCAAACACTAGCTTAATTTCAATTCCAAAGACACTGTTTTTAATGTAGATTAGACAAATTTCAAACACAGATACATATTAGAGAAAACAATTCAACTGTGTAAAGTATTTTTGATCTAGACTTTTACTTTGATTGGTTTTATTTTACTTGATGTTGTGTTGAACTCAATGTCAATGACGAAGTAAATTCCCATAGGCAATTGACGTTATATATGTTTTCTTAATCAAAAATATTAACCCAATACCTTATAGGCTTAAATCAACCTTCAATAAGGTATGGGGTTAAAAAAAAATTTAAGAAGAAAAATATGAAAAATTTAAAGACAGTAAAGAGCAAGACGGATAAGAACAATTCAATTGATTAGTACTTGTTGACCTTGACCTTCTTAATGTTGACCCTAATTCATCTGACCTTGGCTAACTAATTTTCTCTAATTTCTTTTTATATTCCTCAAACAATGTCAATAAATATATTCCTTGATGAGAGGACTTCAGCTATGCAAGAAATTTTGATTTTTTTTCTGGAACTCACATCTCCTTTTTTTTTTTTTTATCAACTTTGAGGATTCCTAATTACAACAACTCAACAATATCAGAATTTTGTATTCGTTCCTCGTGAATTTGACTTCACATATCTTTGTTTTGCTTCGAACGGATTTCAAATGATTTTATTGAATAGCATAAGAATTGATTTTTTTTTTCGCAATTTCATATAAGGGCATATCTTAGATATGTATGTACAGAATTCCTATTTTTTGGTGAAGTTAATTCATCTCGAAATATCTTCGTTTAACTTAATTTATTCAAGGTATAACTGTCTTAGCTGTTTGGTTTTATGAAATGATCAGTTTGCTCATGTGATATTTTGCTTAAACAGCATTTATAAATAAAATATCACTTGAGCAAACTGTTTGATCATCATAAACCACTCCCCCTTTCGAAAAAGACATTTATTCCTTATATTTATTTTTTTTTACCTGATCCGTGATTCATTTTTTTTTTAAATATGAGATATCAGCCTTATTTTAATTCAATGATTAGAATTCTAAGCTTAAGTCTGCAAGCTTCGCCCAGTGTATTACTATACCACACACAGCGAGAAGACAGTTTCATTACGTGATGAACAAATGGCTTTATGAAGATAGAAAGCTATTGCTAACTCAGATGGTACATTTGGAAAGTAAATATATATATATAAACACACCTTAGCAAAAGCATTTCAATATTGCCTTGACTTTCTTTGTAACTTTGATCTTGTATTTCATTATTTTTCTTAATCTAATATATTTTATTTTACCTCTCAATATAGTATCTTCCATGTGATAATGGATCTATTTACTTTACTTTTCTTACATATAACTAAGAGAAATATCACACAGATTCTCAGATTTTGTTACCCTGATGTTTCCTATGACAACTGTATGTTTCTAGATTTTAAATTACACATGTAACAGTCAGTAAAACATTGTCTTAAAATATACAAGCTCTTAATCATACCTATCAAAATTTTAAAATGTACCTGAGGTTGAGAGTTTGACCAGTTCCTTTAGTGCTGTAGAGTCCAGTGTAACTGTAGCCTTAGCATTGCTATAGATCAAGGACTTTATGGAGTCTAGTTTTGTCTGTGTGTCAGACAGTTTCCTTCCCGATACGGGGTTATACGCATTATTGACAAGATGCAGTATTGTCATCACTATATGACGGTATGTCACCATGTTCTGATATTTTTATAAGACTTGCAAGATCTGAAGATAACAAGCAAAACCTCAGGGACTATTTATATCAATAAAACTTGCATCTGATACAGAAACACATCACGCAATAAGTTCATCAAAATATCAAATAACATAAAGACTCAATTTGCAGCTAATTATTGTATATTTGTATCACTTTGCACTATTGTAAACAATTTGTTTCTTGTTCAACATTTCTCCTATGTTAGCCATGCAATATACCATGCTCATATTTACAATGAAAGCTGCACCCTGGGCAATGTTATGGATAATATCTTTGAACCTTAGACTTAAAAAGGCAATTGGTTATCATCTTTCTTCATAGGGAGTTATGTGAGAGGTTAGGTAGTGTAAATTGTTAATAAAATATTTTTACACTACATCAATGTCTCGTTAAAATTAAAAAGATTGCATCAACTCTTAGTGCTAAATGGTAAGCCACTGTCTTGCTATGTATTCTTCCATCTGCTAATCAACACATTAATGTTGTAAGGATTCATGTTCTAATGCGGTATCATCGTTATTCGATGAACACTAGTGGTTTTGGATTTCGTTTTTGAGTTGATTCACGAATACAAATGTTCATCAAAGTAAGATTTATTATATGGAAACCTTTTGTAAATAAATTTACAGTAAAATTTGTCTAATTCGGATGTTCTGTGTTCTAAAATCTTTATTACCCAAGAAGTGTGACTTTTTCAAAACATATGGTGTCAAGAGGGAATACTAGTATCCACCTCTTCAAGCAAAGTGATCGCTGTTAAGCAGTGGCCTGTATCGAAAACAGTAAAAATCTTATTATAGAAGGCTCATGAAAGGATTCACCGATATAGCTCAACCTCACCACAAACTTCTTGGAGAGGACGTCCCAGGTAAAAGATGGCACAAAAAGACCTATTGCGTTCTTGAGCAAATCGTTTCAGTAAGGAAGAAAAGATTGAATGTAGCCAGTTTTGGCCGTTTTGAGTGCAGTAAAGCATTTTCACGAAGGGGGGGGGGGGTTGTAGTATGAACTGATCATGGGGCACTAACATGGCTCTTACACTTCAAAAACCCAGTAAGACAGGATAACCCGTTTACTAAAAGTGTTACGGACATATTATTTCAAAATTATACATCAATCAGGAAAATAACATAGTAATAGTGATGGACGACTCACGTCGTCCGTGTTCAGCAACCACTGTGATAAGAGAAAAGGAAGAAACAAGAACAAAGGAGAGGACAATAACCATGTATCAAAGTTAAAAGAATACCAAGACAACACTGAAGGCTGGTTCTGACAACGACACCACAAGACCCACAAAGGCAACATAACACAGATCAAAGATTAGCTAAAATCATTAAGTGGAAGATAGAAGTCAACAGACCAACTTGGCAGATGATAGCAAAGAAACCAATAAAGTTTAAAACATATTGGTCAAAATGGATTCGATTGATGTTAAGAAATGGTATACTCTTTAATTTGGACATGGGAAGAAAATGAACAGATCTGTTACCAGACATTGGTACCATATTAAAGTGATACTTATGTTTGTACACTCCTAAAGGTGGACAATTAGGAATCTCCAGTCAACCGAGAAAATAAAAGAAAATTTTACTGGGCACCTTATTAAGACCATATTGAGACACATATTAAATGTTGTACTGTATGTGAAGCAAGAAAGAATCCACCAAGGACACCCAGAAGAATGTGGCGAACCACTTTAACCCCTTTAACGAAATATATGGAGATAACGAACAGTACTCAAGCTCAAAAGTCCATCAAACAATACAAAATAGGAGCAGAGCAAACACGGACCTCTAAACATCAGAGGTGGGATCAGGTGCCATGGAGGAGTGAGCATCCCCTGCCGACCGGTCACACCCGCCGTTTGCTCCTTGTCCTGATCGGGAAATAACGGAAAAATCCGTCGACAATTCAGTGTGTAAATAATGGCCTAACAATTAGTATGAAAAACGTCAGTCAGCATTTGACTCAATGATAAATTGTATTTGCTGACAAGGTCATTGTATCGACCATAGAACTTACGAAATGATGACTTTAAACGAGACAGCTGATATTCTTGTTTCATTAACTTGTTTGTCAATAATTTACCTCGTTTTAGAAATTGTTCATACGTAGAGCATGCTCTTGCGTATCGAATCAACTGAGAGATATATACCCCGTATGCCGGTGATGAAGGTATATTGCTGCATAAGTAAGGGAAATTGACGATTGAAAAGTTAAAGTCATCACGTTTATCATAAAGCTTGATTGTTAGATTACCATTAACGTCTTTTTCAAGTAAAATATCCAAATATGAAACAGATGTGTCAGACTCTGTGGTATCTTTTATCTCAAGCTCACCAGGATATATCGTATCGACATAAGAATGAAAATAACCATTGTTAATTGACAATACATCGTCGATATATCTAAATGTCGAGTTGAAGGCCACAGCAAGTGTTTTCTTCTTTTCACGTACAAGATTTTGGACAAATTCTGCTTCATATGAATACAAAAAAAGGTCTGCTAATAACGGGGCGCAATTGGTACCCATGGGAATTCCAATAGATTGTTGGAAGACCTGGTCTCCAAAAACCACATAGATATTGTCAATCAGAAACTCAAGCATCTTTTTAATGTCAACTTCAGAGTACTTGTGTGTACAATCAGAATGTTTTTTAACAAAATAATTTTGCAAATGACCAATGACAAGGTAAGTATATTTACGAGTTCCATTTTTATTGAAAAAGCAGCTGTCAGTTATATCAAAAAGCCTGGACTTTAATTTATCGTGGGGAATGGTTGTGTATAAAGTAGAAAAGTCATAAGTTTTTAAGCTGTTAATAACGAGTGACCATATACATCCTTGGCCCTTCACTACCGACCGAGAAGGGTAATGTTGTTATCATTTCAGATTATTTCGCCCGATGAATAGAAGCTTATTCGGTCAAAAACCAAGAGAAAATAACAATTGTAAAGGTTTTAATAGAAGAATTCATTTCAAGCTATGGATTTCCTTCCTAGGTTCATTCAGACCAAGGCAGACAATTTGAGTCAACATTGTTTCAGGATTTGAGTAAGATACTACAAATAGAAAAAAAGCAAGACATGGAGCAAGTACTAATGCTACTAAACCAGAGGAATTGGGATGACGTTTTACCATTAATGATGCTTGCCTACCGATCGTCAGGACACGATATTAAATTTCGGTAGAGAGCTAAAACTGCCTATTGACCGTGTGTAAGGTCAAAATCCAAGAGAAAGCTGACATGAAAGCTACCATGACTTTGTTGATGAGATGAAAACCAACTTAAAGTTAAATGATACTGGCGAACGAAAATTAGACAAATATGACCGTAAGCAAACCAAATTCTGATGGACGGACGGACGCAGGACAATGGGTGATCAGAAAAGCTCACTTGAGCTTTCTGCTAAGGTGAGCTTATAATTTTATGATTATCGGGATGACTTTCAACTTTTTTATCTTGAACTTGCCTTATTTATGTAGCAATATACCTTTTTCATCTACATATGGAGTTCATGTCTCCCAGTTGATTCCATACACAAGAGCATGCTATACATAGCATTAATTTCTAAAACGAGGCAAGCTATTGACAAACAAGTTGATGAAATATGGATATCAACAGTTTCGTTTTAAATCAATATTTCGCAAATTCTTTGGTCGATAGCAAATATATTCTATCGTTAAGTCATGGTTCTCCATCAGTTCAAATTTAACTGTGGCTCAAGACTTACGCAAAGTGCAAATATTCGAGATCATTTCGCGACCAAAGTCGCGAAGGAACCGCGAAATAAATTGAAAAAAACACAGCCCTTGTGAATCAATAGATTAATTCACAAATGGCATTAATAATTTCCCAAAATGACTGATAAATTCCATAATAAAAACAATTAATCGATATCGATTAAACGGAGCGTAAACAACAAGAGGCCCATGGGCCACAACGCTCACCTGAGTAACTTTCGCCTTGCTGTTTTTCACCTGATTTCCCCCCTTGTAGTACTTATTGTGGCCCTGCCCTACCCCCAGGGTCATGATTTAAACAATTAGAATCTACAATACCCCAGGATGCTTCCACATAAGTTTCAGTTTATCTGGCCCAGTGGTTCTTGAGTAGAAGATTTTTAAAGATATTTTCTACATATTTCAATGTAAAACTTGGATACCCTATTGTGGCCCCTGTCTACCCCCCGGGGTCATGATTTTAACAATTTAGAATCTACAATACCCCAGGATGCTTCCACATAAGTTTCAGCTTTTCTGCCCCAGTGGTTCTTGAGTAGAAGATTTTTAAAGATATTTTCTACATATTTCAATGTAAAACTTGGATTCCCTATTGTGGCCCCGCCCTACCCTAGGGGGTCATGATTTTAAGAATTTAGAATCTACACTACCCCAGCATGCTTCCATTTAAGTTTCAGCTTTTCTGGCCCAGTGGTTCTTGAGAAAAAGATTTTTTAATGACCCCACCCTATTTTTGTCTTTTCTTGATTATATCCCCTTGGAAGGGGGCAAATAAATCAATTATTAGTATCTTACAACTTGTAAATTTAAAAAAAAACACTTAAGGATATCCAACACACCCAACCCTAAAGATTTCCTGTCATATGATTTTTGATAATTTCGTATATTTTATACATGACTACATTTACTATGTGTATGCACATTTTTGACAAAATCGTTCGATTCATATTTGGACAGGAAGTTCCAAAAATTACCACCACCACCCCTTTTTGGGGTAAACTGCTGAAAGTCATAAAATTATATCTTCGTGGATCTATTGCTAATTTTTCAACATTATGAAAATACATACGATACACGTACGATGTTTTGACTCGCAGTGCCAATGCAATTCCAAAGACTGGTTATCAGCAGAACTATCAAAGCATGAATATATATTTATGAATATTAATTGATAATTAAAAAAAATCATTTTTAATTATCGTGAAGTGTGAAAAATGGCTTGTCTCTTTT